CCCCAAGGATGGCCCCAGTGCAGGCTGCACCATTGTCACCGCACTACTCTCTTTGGCCATGAACCAGTCCATTCGGCAGGAAGTAGCCATGACAGGAGAGGTGTCCCTCACTGGCAAGATCCTTCCTGTGGGAAGCATTAAGGAGAAAACCATTGCAGCCAAAAGAGCAGGGGTCACCTGTGTCATCTTCCCTGCAGAGAACAAGACGGACTATTACGATCTTGTAGACTACATCACTGAAGGGCTAGAAGTGCACTTTGTGGAGCACTATGATGAGATCTTTGATGTTGTCTTTCCCTGGAACAAACTAATGATGAACTTTCAGAGGCCCTGAAGGTAGGGGAGGCTTCAGCCAGACAAATTCCAGAGGGTAGGCAACTTGGACAGAAGGATCAGTGCTGATAAGCAGCTGAGTAAACCCATTAATGGTGGTCTGATATATACATATAGCTCAGAGAGCAATTTAATTTAGAAAAGGCCTGTTATGCTTGAAAATGTATTATAATAAAAACCATTTGCACTCTACACAAACACACACAAAAAGGATACTTAACTCAAGTTAAACCAACTAGCAACAAATTGTAAGAATCCTAAAAATCCTGGACTGGCTAAACTACTAACCTTTTTAGAAGGTCCTTCAGAGAAACCGAAAAGGGAGAATAAATAGAAAAAAGAAGAAGAAGAAGAGAAGGGAGGAAAGGCAATCCCAAAGTGAAACTCCTATCTTTGTCAAAAAAGTTCAGATCAAAGAAACCTACAAAGTTATTAACAAAAGACAGAGGAACTGTTAGAGTGATTTTGCAACGTCTTGAATAACTGAAATTATAATAAGAAAGCATTAGAATGACTGAAGAAAAGAGAAACTTAATAATTTTAATGCTACACACAAATGGACTAAAATTCACAATAAAATGAAAGTCACAGGATAGATTAAAAAGCTGAAAAATCCAAGTATATTCAAACTGAAAGAGTAGTCTAAATTAAACTATGTTACTGCCAAATCAACTTACTCATTTCACATGACTTCACTCCATCTCAGCTACACATACAGGGGTGTCACTGTATATGTACAACTGATCACATTTTATTCCATCTTCTCTCAAAGACTGTCCCCTCTGTCATCCTTACTTTCTTTTTTTTTCTTTTCAAGGCAGTTGGGGTTAAGTGACTTGCCCAGGGTCACATAGCTAGTAAGTGTCAAGTGTTTGGTCTGAGGCCGGATTTGAACTCAGGTCTTCCTGACTTCGGGGCCGGTGCTCTATCCACTGCACCACCTAGCTGCCCCTGTCATCCTGACTTTCACTTATCTTCAGATTGTCTGTCTACTGGCTGCTTCCCTACTGTCTATAAATATGAGTATATCTCCCTCATCCTCAAAAAATCCTGGCTCGATCTGTCCATTCTAACTAGCTTTACCATCCCATACCTCTCCTCCCTTTTGTGGCTAAATGGATTTAGGCCCTGAACAATTAATGACTCTACTTCCTTTCCTCTCACTCTTCTTAACTCTCTACAGTCTGGTTTCCAACTGTATCATTCAACTAAAACTGCTCTCTCCAAATTTAACCATGCTCTCTTAAATGCCAAATCTAATAGCCAGTTCTAATCCTTTTCCTGACCTCTCTGTAGCCTTTGACAATGTCAATCACCCTCTTCTTGACATTTTTTTCATTCTAGGTTTTTACGACAGTACTCTCATCCTAAGTATCTTCCCTCCTATTTGACTGATTTCTCTCAGTTTCCTTAACCTGGATTTTCATACAGGTGACTGCCAGTTTTCTTAAGTGACCCCAAAGGCTCTGTATTGGGCCCTTTTCTGTTCTCCCTCTATCCTATTTCAGTTGGTAATCTCATCAGTTTCCATGGATTCAATTACCATCTCTATGCAGATGAATCTCAATCCATCTATCCAGCCCTATTCTTTCTCCTGACCTCCAACTTCCCATTTCCAAATGTTAACCAGATGTATCTAAACTGCATGTCTCATAAGACATCTTAAACTCAATATGTCCAAAACAGAATTCATTATCTTTTCTCTAAAACCTGCGGTAAATAGAAAAGGGACCCCCAATGTTTGCCCAGTGCTATTAGTACTATCAGGGCAGCTAGGTGGTGCAGTAGAGAGGGTATTTAGCCTGGAATCAGGAAGACGATTCCTCCTGAGTTCCCAATCTAGCCTCAGACACTTATTGGTTGTGTGATTCTGGCAAAGTCCCTTTACCCTGTTTGCCTCCGTTTCCTCATCTGTAAAATGAGCTGGAGAAGGAAACGGCAAACCAGTCCAGTATCTTTGCCAAGAAAACTCCAAATAGGTCATGAAGAGTCAGACACAACTGAAAAACCACTAAACAACAACTACCCAACTTTCCTATTACTGTTGAAGATGATACCATCCTTTCAGTCAACCAGGCTCACAGCAGAGGTGTGGGCCTCAACTCCTTACTCCCATCCCCCCTATTCTGTTGCCAAGACCTGTTGATTTTATCTTTGTAACATCTCTTACATATGCCACCTTCTCTCCTCTGCAAGTATCCCTGCCTTCTGGTTAGGATCCCCCACTCCAGTCCATCCTCCACTCAGCTTGTCAGAGTAATCTTCCAGAAGTTCAATTATGATCATATCATCATTTCCCCCACCCAATGCCCCCAATTCAAGAAATGCCAGTGGCTGTCCATCACCAGGATCAAATATTAAATCCTGTTTAGCATTCTAAGCCCTTTACCCTCACCCCCACCACCATCTTTCCAATCTTCTTATCTTCTTTCTCCTCTGATCATATACTTTGAGATCCAGTGACACTGGCTTCCTTGCTTTTTGGTGCAAAAGATACTCCATCTTTTGACTCGGCATTTTAACTGGCTGTCCCCCATGCCTGGAATTCTGTCCCTTCTCACTTCTGACTCCTGGCTTCAAGTCCCAGTTAAAATCCTACCTTCCAAAAGAAGCCTTTATGCTACTTCCCTCTCTTGACTCCAATTTATCCTGTATGTATCTTGTTTGTACATAGATGTCTGCATGCTGTCTCCCACATTAGACTATGAGCTCCTTGGAAATAGTGTCAGATTTTTTTCTTTTGCCTTTCTTTGGATCCTCAGCACTTAGTATAATGCCTGCCATATAGAAGGCACTTACAAATGCTTACTGACTGATAAATGTAAGTGGAAATAATGACAATAAAGCTGAATTTCAACCAGAAAATGTTTTTTAAAAAGAAGGCAAAATGTATTATACGTAAAAGCATTTATACAAGTGAGAGCATATCAAGTCTAAAATCATCTAATAATTTGAAATTAAAATTTGTAAAGGAAAACAATCTTTCAAGAAAAACTAGACAAAAACAAATGGAAAATTTTAAACACACCACCATCAAAATATGATAAATCCAACAAAAAGATTAATTTAAAAATCAGGGAGCTAATCAGAGTATTAGAGAATTTAGATCTAATAGATACATGGATACCTTAATTTTAAAAATAAAGAATATACCTTTTTTTCTTCAATGTTCATGAAACCTACAAAAAAACCTGATCATACGCTGGGCTACAAAGATGAAATAGGAAAAAAAATAAAAAAAAGAGATTCTATGTTCTATATTTATAGACATAATAAAATGAAATCAGTAATAAATAATGATGCAATGAGGTATAGTGGAATCTAAAAAATGATGTATTAATGCTGGGGAGGGAAACAGAAACGTTCATATTTATTTTTAAGCCTGCATAATTGTTTCTTACTCTAATTTCCATTTCAACAACAATTCACCTTAAATGAACTTCCTCTATTCTTTTCTAAAAAGTTTTTTCCTCTGTACATTTCCATATGGATGTCCCCTAAGTACTTCAAGCTTATTAAAATATTTAAAACTAAACTCTTCATCTCCCCCAGTCATCCACCTCCCCATTCCCTCCTAAAAAACCAAAAAACAAAAAAAACCCCTGCCCTTCTTATTAACTTCTACATGCCTTTTAATGATGCCAACATTCTCTTCAGTAACTGAGGCTAGAAACCTCAGTCAGCAACTCCTCACTTTGCCACGTCCAATGAGGTACCAAATCTTTCTGCTGCCACCATAGTTCAGATTCCCATTACCTGGACTATTATAATTGCCTCCAAATTGGTCTCTCTCTAATCCACTTTACAAACTTCTGCTTAAGTAATCTTCCTAATGCATAGTTCTGATCATAATCACTTAATTCTCCTGAAAAAACCTCCAGTGGTTCCCCATAACCTACTAGGTAAAATCTAGACTATTTAGCTTAATGTTCAGTTGTTTCCCCGATCTAATTCCAGCTTATCTTTCCTATGTCTCAAAGTACTCCCCTTAATGCACTATACTGTATACTAGTACTTTGTTCTCTGAACTCAGTGTTCCTTTTTCCTTTCCTCTTTATGATTCCTCATGGCACATCCTGGAAACCTGGAATGCTGTCCTAAGTTCTCCCCCTAACTGTGCCAATTAAAATCTTTCTTGTTCTTCAAGGCCCAGCTGTCAATCCCTAAACGAAGTCTATCCATAACTCCAAAGTAATAAATTATTTCTCTCCTCCCTTGAAACCTTTATGCATTGTTTGCCCCATTTCCATGCACTTATATTATATTTTTTTACTCAATAGTTATGTATGTTTTATATCTCACAAGAACATAAACTTCATGTAGGCAAAGATGATGCCTTATTTAGCTTTGCATTTCTCTCGGTGACTACCACAGTATGTATGTAGTAAGCACTTAATAACTGTTTTTTGGGTAAATGACATTTTGTGTTCTGAAATGGCTTCTTTAATGGAATATATTTTTAAATTTTTATTTCAATTTAGTATGCAGTACTGCTGCATTTTGTAGGAAAAAAAAGATCATACTCCAAAAGATTATTAACACAAACAGACAATATGCACACAAATCTTTCTCCAAAGAACTACAATATTTTCTCAGCAAAGTGATGTACATATGATAATTACTCAAAAGAGCACACAAAACATAATACAAAAATGAAAAACACAAACCTCTGAGAAGTGTTATAAGTGAGACCAAACGGTGTTCCTGAAATAGCTGCTCTAGTTTATACTGCAAATAGTAATCAGTATATGTCTCTAAGGTGTTTTTCAAGAGGATTCGTATTCCCATCAAGAAATGATGAAGCCAATCAGGAATCCGAAAAACCACTCGACCTGAAAACAATGATATGTCATAAATTCTTAAAATAAACTGGTCTTTTCTGACATTTATGAGTAAAGCATATATATTTTGCTAATTGGCATGTCAACAATTTTGCACCCCCAAAGACTATTAATTAAGAACTTTAACATGTCAGTGGTCAATTCTGATTGACACACTGTGTTTAAAAAAAACCCATCTTAATCTCCAATTAAAAATAGATTCTGAAGTTGGACTCTTTGTGGATACATCACTTGGCATCTGACATAAAACTGAGTGAAAGATTAATACAAAGAAAAAATCATCCTTACCTACATACATTAAGTAATCATAGACACCCTCTACGGTCATCATCTCCATAAAATAATTCTGATTTTGTTTTCTCTCTGTGTTCTCAGCACGGTTTGCATTGTTCTTGAATAGGTCATTGAAAAGCTGAAAATTCAAATTATGAATAGTTAAATATTTTACTACAGATTAACATTAAAGGGATGTCATAACTCTTCACGAACCAAAAGAAAAAACTTGACAATGATGTTTGTCCCCCTCCTACAAACCCATACACTAATAATTGATTCTATAAAAATTAAATTGGTGCTAACACCATGTGAAAAGCAGATTATTTTAATCAGCACAACTCCTGTGCAGATCCCGTATTACATATGGCATATTATTTTCAGTTTAGCTACTACAGAAACATCATTAACCACATAAAAGCCCTAATCTGTTATTGCCAAAGGATGCAAACTGACTATGTACAAGGGGGATTCTTAACCAACAGAGAACAGAGTTGATTTTGCCTATTAAGAGTTCTTAGATGCCACTCTTATGAACGGATGCTCTTTAACCAAGATTTTTTTCTCCCCAAGTTTAATAGTTAATATAAGTAGTGTCCTAAGGAGCACAGAAGTATTAGGAACAGATCTGAGCATATACATCACAACATCCCAGAAGAAGGAAACTTTCCCCTCAAGGGCAAAGACTTTTCACAAAAACAACGCATAGGACAGTGCCTTGTATGTTGCTGGACCTCAACAAATGTTTGTTGAAATGAAAAAAGATGAAATATAATAAAATCTAATACTTCTAGCTGGCCAAATTATCAGAAAGAACATGCAAAAACATATTACTATGAGCTAATGATTAAATCAATATTAGCTATTAGAACCACCGATTCTTTACAATAGTGACAATTATTTAACTATATTATTAATATTATTAAAGGTTTTTTCTTCTTAGACTTGACATTTATAACTCCTATGAGAAAAGAAGTTCAACAGTCAGTCAACTAAATCTGATCACATCCAATAGTCAACATTAGTACTGTATTGTCAAAATTAAAGGACATGGTGTTTTCCTTTTAGTTTTGTTGTTGTTCAGTTGTTTAGTCATGTCTGACTCTTCATGACACCGTGGACCATAGCATGTCAGCCCTTTCTATCATCCACTATCTCTCAAAGTCTCTCCAACTTCACGTTCATTGTTTCCATGATACTCTCTATCCATCTCATCCTCTGCTGTCCCCTTTTCATTTTTCCTTCAATCTTTTCCAACATCAGGGACTTTTCCAGTAAGTCCTGTCTTCTCTTTATGTCACCAAAGTATTTAAGCTTCAGTTTAAGAATTTGACCTTCCAGTGAATAGTCTGAATTAATTTCTTTAAGTACTGACTGATTTGATCTCCTTGCTGACCAAGGGACTCTCAAAAGTCTTCTCCAGTACCACAATTTGGAAGCATCGATTCTGTGGTGCTTAGCTTTCCTTACTGTCCAACTCTCACAACCATATATTGCTACTGAAAAAACATAGCTTTGATTATATGGACCTTTGTCTTGCAAGGGGATGTCTCTGCTTTTTAGTATGCTGTCCAAGATTTGCCATAGCATCCCTTCCAAGGAGCAAGCACCTTAATTTCATGGCAGTGATCTTTGAGCCCAAGAATATAAACATCTGATACTACTTCCATTTCTTCTGCCAGGTTGTACCTCTATAGAGATTGCTACCCAATGTGATGGCTGCATATGTAAGCTGGGCTGAAAGGCGCTAAAAACATTGCTATTTCCAAGTCTCTTGCGTCAGGACCCTGGCTGTTTCCATAGAGGGGGGTCAAAAATAGAGAGGTCAAGGTGGTGGTAGAGGTAGGGGGGTTTGATTTGCCTGGTACATTCTGCCTCCTATCTCTCCCTCAGGGTAATTTTGCTACTTCAGTTAGGCTAGCTTTGCCTGTCCTACATGTAGAAGTTGGTGGGGATGGCTGGCCCCTTCTCCACAGGACCCCACTCCCTGGATGATGACTGTGATGGCTAGGCTGGAAGCAAGACCTTTGGTGTAGAAGGTGCTTCCACTCCCAAGGCTCTTGGACCTATCTGCAGTTGGTGGCAGTTGGTCAGCAGAAGTTAGTAATAACCTAATAAGATTTAATATAATATCTAATATTATATTATGATAATAGTTATGGTTTTGAAAACTCCTGGGGGAAAGATAGTTTAACTAGAACACATATAAAATCTTGATGAATAAAAATCTTCATATAGGGTTGTATTTAGAAAGGTTATTTACACAATTAACAACTGTGTTTATGTACAGATTATAATTGTACTTTGCTGATTTCAATAAATTCTGTTAGACAAAAAAATCCCGCACAATAGACTGTAACATTAGTTTCCTTGTAGGAATCAATCTATAAGGATACCGTTTTGATACGTATGCTTTGTGGTAATTGAGTGTTATAGAAGACTGGACAAGTTTTATGAAAATCTGTATTGTTGTTTCAGATTTGTGTTATGGTGTGTATATGTTATTGACAAAATAGGTTATTTTGTTTCCTGAAAGGTCTATAAGCCTAAAGATTGTAGGAAAAAATGGCAATATGAGAAAAAAGATGGTTAGCAAACCAAGGAGGATTGGGGGAAGGTAGAAAGGAGGTAAAAATGGGCATGAGGAAAATACAACACTCTTTTGTGTTAACAGGTGAAAGAGAAATAAGTTTAAGGGGTGCAGAAATGAAAGCTGGGTAGAAAAAAAAATCTTAACTGAAATCTATACTCAAGGTGAGACTTCTCTATTCCCCACCTCTACACTTCTGGTCTTCTTAACATCCAGGGACAATAACCATGCTCCAAAACTACAATTATTGACTACAAATAAAAAATGTAATATTTACTGCACTCAAGAAAAATTTTAAAGTATGATCAGTTCTGCTATAATGTGTTTCAAAAATGTGAATCTGTTACAATACTATTGACATAATAGGGAACATTTTGAACATAATGCAAATTTCAAGTCTGCAACTTCTGCCACAAAAAACAACAAGAATGAAGAAAACAGCAGCATTTCACAATAACTTATAAGTTACAACCCTTCCAACACCTACTTCCACAAACTTTAGGTCTTTTCAAGGTAAATTGCCATAATTACTATGTATTTTCTGGTGCACAAGAAGCTGTAAGGGGAGAAGAACTCCACTCATATCCCTACCCCTACCCCTTCCTCCATGGTCTCCAGGTGGAGCTACTGCTTGCCCAACCTTCTAATGCAGCCTGGGTCACAGGCAAAAGAGCAGCCAAAGGTCACCAATCAGCTACTATTTGTTGCAGTATTTATGTATTTCTTTTTTTTTTTAACAAATTTTTATTAATATTTTCTGTTTCTCACATCACCATAGTTCTCCCAAGTATCCCCACCTTTCCCTCTCCCAGAGAGCCATCCCATATACAAAATAGTATTTTTTGGAGAGAGGAAAAAGGGAAAAAAAGAACTAAAATAATATATTAATAAGGTCCAAAAATGTGCAATGTGTAACACCTGTGGACCTCCCATCCCCACAAAGGGGAAGGTTGGGGGGTGTCTTCTCATCTCTCTAATTTGAGTCCTACTTGATCTTTATAACTGTGTTACATTTACTTTTGATTTTTTTTTTTTTTTGGTGTGTCACTGTTCTCTCCATTTCAAGTATTGTAGTTACTGTGTATATTGTTTTCTTGGCTCTGCTTACTTCACTATGCATCAGTTCATTTAGATCTTTCCATGCATCTCTATTTCTCACAAGCATTTTTTTTTAACATGAACAAAGAAATATTATTTTTAACTTATGGAATAAAACAACCATTTCCATAACATAGTACAATAAAAAAAGATGATTGTACATAAAACTACAAATCTACTATGTACAACTTGCTATCAGTTCTTTCTCTGGATGCAGATAGCGTCTTTCTTTACATGTCCTTTATAGTTAATTTGGATATTTATAATAGACAAAATACAATGTTGCTGTTACAGTATACAATGTTCTCTTGGTTCTGCTTGTTTCACTTTATTTCATGCAAGCGTTTGCATGTTTTTTCTAAAATCACTGAGCTCATCATTTCTCATAGCACAGTAGCATTCCATCACAATCATATACCACACCTTTGAAAAGCCATTGCTTTCTTATATTAAGTATATTGAATAAAACTAAAACTTTTCTTCATAGCTCAGGGTCGATATTATTACTAGTCCTTGTACATTATTCTCATACAACTATTTTTCCAGGGCTTTATTTTCCTGTTGCTGTCAATTCTCACTTCTACTGACAGCATGCCTGTGTCTTCTCTTTCTGATTTGTTTGTTGTCACGTTGCTCCTAGTGTGCTTATTTGTCTGCTCCTTCAGCTAACCTCTGGTCCATCTGTGTGTCCTTGAGCAGATCACTTTCTTTTTTGGGGCCTCAGTTCTTCTTTTCAGATGAGGAAACTTAAGGAGCAGTGAAGTGACTTTTTCACAGTCACTTAGCGAGAGCAGGGATTCGTAACTCCACATTCAATACATCAATTAATCACCATCTGTATGTCCTTGAGCAGGTCAATTCCCTTCTCGGAGCCTCAGTTCCTCCTGACTTCGTAGGAGCCCATGGAGCTTAAAATTAGAGTGAATGGAAGAAGGATCCACTGGGGCCACATCCCCCTGCCCTGCTCTCCCTTCAGGCTGCTGGACTTGGTTCGAGGCATCCCATCTCCACTACAAGCTGCTTTGCCTTCCAGACTGGAGCCAAGTAGGAATCAGGGTTCTCTTCTCCAGTCATGCTCGCTAGCTGTATTTCTCTAAGCGAATTCACTGGGGCCGTATCCTCCCAATCACCGCCTTCACCGTGAAGATAAAAGAAGGGTTCCCAGGCTGTTAAAGATTAATTCCTAGCTATCTGGGAACCTGGAATAAAGGTGATTTTTTGCAGAAAGAGAAAATGCGTTTGCTCATTTTCAGCTGAAACTGTTTTCAGGGAAACCTGAATTTGGCAGTCAGGACTCACAGGTGCCCTGGTTTGTGTGTGATTTAGCCAGCACTAATTTGTGTGTGAAGACTTGGTGACCCCTAGCAAGGGAACATGGGTTTGGTCTTGGTATGGGTGGGATTGAGATTTGGGGCACAGTATTTTGTTCAGAGCAGATCTTAAAAATGCCCTTTCTAGGCCTGTCACAAGAACTTGCAACTCAGAGCTCCTCATCTTACCTTCCCCACCCCCACCCCCACCTACTTCCTTATCACCTGAGACTCCACTTTCCCTTAATTTATTTCAAAACACTTCCTGCAAAGTGCATGCGAAAATTCCTTGGTCCTCCGAGTCATCCGTGGTTAAGAAAGTTTACAAAAAACTAGGGGTTAGATGTTCTCCCCCATCCTCCTCTCCCCTCTCTTCCTCTTCTTCCCCTTTCAGCTTCCTCCTCTTCCCACTTCCTCCCTCTTCTGCCTCCACTTCCTCACAGAAGCATCATTTCTTACAGCACAGTAATATTCCATTACCTTCATGTATCACAATTGTTTTCAGTCACTCCACAACTGATAGGCATGAACCTTGTTTCCAATTCACAGCTATCACAAAAAGTGCTCTTATAAATATTGTTTTGATTTGCATTTCTCTTATTATTAGTGATCTCAAATATTTTTTCACGTAGTTGTGAATGTTGTTCATATCCTTTGCCCATTTATCGATTGAAAAATGGTTATTAGTCATATCTGTGTGTGTGTGTGTGTGTATTTTAGGCACCAAACTCTTACCAGAGAAATCTGACACAAAGATTTTTTTTTTCCCACTTAACCATTTCCCTTCTTATCCTAGGTGCATTAATGTTCTGTGCAGAAGCTTTTCAGTTTCAAGTACTCTCTTTTGCTTGTAAACACAGTATTAGTATTTATGCATTTCTTGACCATTTAACACAAAACTATGCTCCTATTTTTATTAGGTTCCAATCTTTATGTGTTACTGACAAAGTTTTTAAGCACTATGCCCCAACCACATTTTCCCTGTAAGTTCTATGATTTTTAATTGTGCAATTTTGCATAACTTGGCACTTTGTGGGAATGCACATCATGTCATAGCACATATGCTATAAGTGACTGTACCTATAAATATTTTCCCCACCCCATCCCTTATACTATGACAGCAGATCTTCAATTAAAGGAAGCAATGGTCATGGCTCCATCAAGTTTATTATTAAAATAGTCCTATCCTATGCACATTGTAGCAACATCAACTCAAACTGGACAAAAACCAAAATGATGACAAAAATCTTTTTTAACGTACTTTACCTTTTTGTTGTTTTCAGAAGTTGGGCTGAGAATTGTTAATTCTGGCCTACTTGGTTTAGGTTTTGGGGATTCACAAGAATTAATGAAATTCATGATGAAAGGTTCCAAATGCTGGCCCTTCTGCAGTGACACAGAAGTTAATAAAAAGTAATAATAAGAGATAGAAACAAGTAATTCACTATGCTCTTGTTAGTCACAAAAAAATTTAGAAATAATGGCCACTCACCTCTTTCATTAGTTTTCCTGGAACAGATTTTATAATTTTCCCTGAAATTTAAAAACATAACATGCCATCTTAAATCTTACCTGGTAACAGGTTGTACTTTATTACTATTACTTACGTGAACAGCTTGAAATGATAATTTCACTTATCAAATAAAGTCATTGTTTCATTTTATCATTTACTCTCAATGGAAATTTACATTGTGAAGCAATAAATTATTTCTAAAACTGTAGGAATTTTTTTTTCTTTAACCACAGTAATTAATAAATCAATGCATTCAAGTAGAAGGCAATCTAAAAAGAAAACTGGGAAATATTACAAACTTTAAATGCAACTTATTTTATTATTTTATTTCAGACGCAGTTAGGTGGCAAAGTGGTTAGAATGCTAGGCCTGGAGTCAGGAAGACTTGAGTTCAAATTTGACCTCATACACTTGTGAGATGTGTGACCTTTGGGCAAGTCATTTAACATCTGTTTGCCTCAGTGTCCTCAAGTGAAAAACTACTTTTTTTTTTTTTAAATAGCACCTACCTCCCACAGTTGGTGTAAAGGCTAAAAAAGAGATAATATTTGTAAAGTGGTCAGCACAGTCCCTGGCACAAAGTAGGCACCTTATAAATACTAGTTGCTATTACTGTTGTTATTAATTATTATCACTATTTATTTATTTATTTATTTATTTCTGGTCAAATCTCATATCTGAAAAATTCTATATGGATACTAGAAAAGTTAACATTCCTCTCTGAAACACAAGAAACCTTAAAATTTTTCCCAAGCCATTAACTCTCCCACAACCACTATACCCATATCCTTTACCTCCCAGTTGTGTGCCAAGGACACTGAGTAACTTGAGCGTTTTATGAAATAAGCATTTTGTTCTGTTTTAATAAGCACTCATTGTATGGCCAAGTCAATGTTTTTCATTCTTGCAAGGATCTACATAATTTTAAAGATCATTCCTTCCCTCTCAACATATATAGACAATAGACACTACCCTTTCATCCCCTGGCAGATGACCTTTTTTTTTCCTTCTGTACTTGAATGATCTTTAACGTTTGCACTTAACTTTGTGGAAATTACCCACCTTAAAAGAGATCTCTCCTGCTTCTACTTTCATTTGGCCCATCTCCTCTCTCTCATCTCCTTTATTTCACTTAATATCCCATCAAACTTAAGTCTCCATACTCTGATTTTGAGGACCAAATCTTCTGCAAATGCATGTTTTCCAGACAACCAGTGAATACTGGAGCTAGGTATATGATTCTTAAAACTAAGCAACTCTTTAGATACGTACTTTTCAAACAGCCATAATGGTTATAATTCTGCCTTTTTTCAACATAATCAATGCCACCTTTAATAGAATTTTTTAATTAAATAAGAAAACTCTGCTTTCTTATATACATCAAAATGATACCATCACTACTACTAACTCATAATGCTTTATGGTTTGCAAAATGCACTCTTTACTATAATGCTGTCAAGAAGGGAAATACAAATATAATTAGCACATTTTGCAGATAAGGAAACTAAGATACAGAGATAAATGACTTGCCTATTGTCACACAGCTAGTATATGGTAGAGCTGGGATTGAATTCAATTCTCCTGAATACAAATCCAGCATTATTTGTACTATATAGCACGTATTATTCCTCAGTCCATTTCCCCTTCCTTTTCTAACCTATTTTTACCTTCTGAAATCCTATTCATATTTACAAATCAGGTCAAATACTATAATTACCACAAGCCTGTTCCTATTCATCAAACTCATAAATTTTGAAAACTTGCTACACTTGTCTACACCACGCACAGGGTACTTAACATATACTACCTTATACAGTAGTTACTATGTACATGTCTTAGCTCCATAATAAGTTGGTAAGATTCACGAAGACAAGGACCATATCTTGTATACTTTGTTATCTTTAAAATCATTTATATATAGAAGACAGTCAATAAATATTTGATGAATAAATGAACAAAATATAAGTGGTACTCGTGTTTTTGTTTTTTTTTAACTTTTGCTCTTTTTTTTTCCTAAGAAAAGAGAACCATGGAAAGCATGGGAATTGTAAAGACATGATTTGGAGGTTTAAAGAAATGAGGAATGCTGAAAAGTGATGGAGGTCATATTTTAAGGTTCTGGATACTATAAGAAAGGCATAAATTCTGAAAGTTTTTTTCTTCCCTTTAAACTACCCATGGAAAAGGGTTACTAAATCCATTTTCTAACTTCATACTAAATTAAAAACACTTTTAAATGAGGTAGCAATGGGATTTCATATGTCGTACTTTAGTTGGAAGCTTTTCAATGCTACACTTGCGATGTGTAGGACACACGTAGACCCTGCTCAAATAGTTCCAACCATCACTTTCAATTAAAACAATCTGGTCCAGTTTATATACACTCCAACACGATCAGAAAACAATACAGCTGGGTTTCATGGCACTGTGTAGAAAGGTGGCAGCAGAGGATTTCAATTAAAAGTTGTAGCTGAAATGATTTAAACACTGTCTAAATCTGGCCTCCAAATATTCAAACATCACATTATTTTTTGAAATACCATGTTTAGAAAATAAAGCCTTCAATAAATCTCCAATAAGGAAAAGTTATTTTTCCAGTCATTCATTGGCCTGAGTCGAAACATAAATTTTATTCAGTGCTTGCTACTGGTAACTCGGTAGACTTTCCAAAAACAAAGGAAATTTAAACCTTATGCATTCTTATGATTTCATCTTTAAAAAAGACCTTGTTAAAATAGGGCAACCTACATACCACAGAATAAATATATTGTTTTTATAACAATTATCTATTGAAGATATACTGAGATTCGAGACTGAAGTTTTATTTATCCAAATTTTTTTTTTCTGAAAGTTCTAAATCATTAGCAGAAAAGCAAAAACAAGTTTAAATACTAATTTAAAACAGGAAAGATTTTCTAGAAAAATAATATTTTATGACTACTTTATATCAATGTGTTTACAGCCAATGAAGAATTTATTTAAATAAAATCCATTTATAGTAGTGCAGTCAAGTAACGAGATGCTGCTAAGAATATAAATCTAAGCCAAAAAAAAAAAATCTGTTCATACAAAGTGTAATTTAACCTACTATAAACTATACCAAATGTTATTAGGTTTTAGAACACCAGAATTCTTTAAAATTCAAAATGAAGAATTAAACAATTTGACGATTAAACTAGTCTAAAAATTTAAGTCTTGGCACTCACTAAAGGTTGACAAATCCAGTCTTTATTAGGCTGGATAGAGTAAAATTCCAAAGAATGAAGGCATTTGTGGGCAGTACTATTTACCATTAACTACATGCTCATAGGTGAAAAGCTCTGAAAACATTACATCTTCAACTCCTTTACTTTCAAATTTAGAAATAATGAGGACACAAAACCATAAATGATCTGAATTTTTATAAGGGTTGATATGGACAGACCACTGATGTAATCAGAACCCAAATGACACATAGCTTGAAATCCTTAAGTTCATTACTAATCCTAAATTTAGTACTGCACCTGGAAGTAGACAGGCAGCTTACAGAAATTCTAAAGCATAGGAATAATATGTACTATGCAGTTTTGAAAATAACTAGAATCTAAATTTAAATATATCTGTCCAAGTTAAATGGTTAAAGTATTACTATTACTAAAATTGAAAGACTGTGCTTTAAGGGCTTATTATAAGGTACTTTCCTCATAACTCCTTGAAGTAGGGAGTAAATGTACTAATGTTACAATTTTGTTGATGAGAATAATGAGATTAAGTTTACATGACTTGCCCACCATCAGAACTAATAAGTGTCTGAGGTGGTGTTTGCACCCAAGACTCCCCTGATTTAAAGATCAGCACGCTTTCTACTACATCAACATTATTTATTCTGAAATCTGAAAGTACTTCATAAACTCATGACTGCTTATTTGTTGGACCATCTGTTTTAATCCTGACACATAATGATTTTTAATTGACTTACCAAGATTTACATCAGGCAATATCTTATCCAGAAACTGTGTCTCGCCACCATTCGGAGAGAGAAAATCTGCCAGAAGTTGGCTATTACTCAACTCTGGATGTTGCAGAAGTTTCTTGAATTAACCAAAAAGAGGAAAGAAGTTTAACTATTACATTAACTAATCAAACATTCATAACTGAGTTCTTAAAAACTACAAGAAAATTTCAGAATGACACAGGCTATTTAAGAAGCAGCAGTCTGCCTCAGTGCCGTGGGAAAGCCAGTACCATACCATGATAAAAGTTCAATCCTATTCTACTGCACTACTAACTCACAATGAGCCTGGGAAGGGGTCTGCTTCCAGTGTTACCTAGAAAATGGGAATGACAAGAGCACCTTATTTTCTGGATCATTTGAGGAAAAATCGAAGTAGCTATAAAAGGCTTTATAAAAACAAAATGACATAAACATCAAGTGGTGATCCTCTGCAAGAGATAGATCATCATCAAGGTACCAGATAAACTGAGAACATTCCCGTAAAAATAAAAGCCAGCTATTTCAAAAGCAACAATGTCAAACAGTCTTGCCTAGAAGTTGTTTGGGAACCACAGGGAGAAGAGAGACTGGATCAATGTTTTCATTTGTTTGGGGAACCTAAACCTAGGTAAAGAAACTCTCTCTGCAAAGGCAATCAGTATCTTCTCTGAAATTTACAATTTAAGAGAGGTGCCTTGAGAACAGAGAGATTAAGTGATTTGCTCAAGATCACATAGCTGGCATGTGTCAGACAGAGGTGGAACTCTTAGAATTTCCTGGTTTCCAGATCAACTCTCTATTATCCACTAAATCCACTGCTTCTTGAGAACTATATACCATTTAAAATTTTTTAAAGTAGATATGAAAAAGATGTTCAAATAGGTATATACATGCAAATATTGAAACAATAGGCTAAAATAGAAATCTTAACCATTTTTGTATCATGGACTCATTTGACACAGATCAGATGGATCCCTTCTTGGAATCTTATTTTTAAATATATAAGATGGAGAGAATTACAAAGGAAACCAATTACACTGAAATAAGAATGTATTTTTTCCCATCCAAGTTCACAGACAAGGACATGGACCCCAGGTTAATAAACGCTAAGCTGCAGAACCAGAACTAATAAGTGACATCAGGTACATGGGTTTCAAAGTACAAAATATGATTTTTAAAAGTTTATTTCATTCCATAGACATTTATTCATAAAAATAGTTATATGAGTTATGTGACTGCATGGATTAGGAAATGATTCTATAATATAAGAAAGGAGAGCATTTAATATTCAACATAATATTGAAAACATAAAGGAAAGGAGTGTGATGTTGTTCAGTCATTGTTAGTCGTGTCCAGCTCTTCATGACCCCATTTGGGGTTTTCCTGGCAAAGATACTGGAGAGGTTTGTCATTTCCTTTTCCAGCTCATTTTACAGAATGAGGAACTGAGGCAAATAGGGTTAAGTGTCTTGCACAGGGTCACCCAGCTACTAAACATCTGAGGTCAGATTTGAACTCAGGAAGATGAGTCTTCCTGACTCCAAGCCCAGTGCTCCATCCACTGTACCACCTAGCTGCCCAGAAAGAAGTATAAAAAGCACTAGATGAAAGAATGAAGTTTTCACAAATGCAGAAATTTTACTAAAGAATTCTATTCAGACCTTTGAGGTCAGACCTCAGATCTTAAGAAATGAGAAGTAATTCCTGGCAATGCCAATCAGATTTTTCTAAATACAGTGAGAGAGAATCCACTGAAAGAGATCCTACAAGCTACACACATACCACAGCTCGCCAAAAATATTAGATTCCAACCTGTACCAGAATAAGAACCATTTCTATAATATGCCCAGCAAGTGATTATCCAAGTCTGTACCTGAATACTTTTAGTAGGGGGAAATGACTAACTCCCTAACTTCTTTTGCATAGCCCTTACCTGAGCTCCTCACCCATAAAATGAACTGGAGAAGGAAATGGCAAACCATTTCAGTATCTTTGCCAAGAAAACGCAAAAATGGGGTCACGAAGAGTTGGACACAACTGAAAGGAAAGAACAAAAACAACAACAAACAGAGAGGGATTTTTACTTCCAGAATCAGAAAAATATTCTGATACTCTAATCTGTGTGATCAAAGAAAGTTTAACAGAGTCTATCTTGATTTTAGCAAAACCTGTGGTAAAGGTTCTCATGCTATCTTTATAGACAAAATGAGGAGTTGTGATCTATACAACACAACAATTAAGTGGTGGACCTGGATGAATGGCTGGCCCCAAAGAGTAGTTATTTAAAGGACTGACAACTGCAAAGTCTCTGGCAATGTGCCTCTTGGACTTGTCCTTGCCCCTGTGGTGATATTTACACAGAATCATCTAGCAAGAGCTGAAAGGAACTTCAGAGGTAATCTCATTCAACCATCTCACTTCAGAAATGAGGAAACTACAGCATCAAGTGAGCAGAACTAGGAGTATAATTTATACAATAACAGCAATATTGTAAAGATAAATAACTTACAAAGACTTAGGAACTCTGATCTATGAACAACCATGATCACCAATGACTAGCCATGATTCCAGAAGACCAATAACGAAGCATGCGACCCACCTCCCAATACAGAAGTGATGAATTCAGAGTGCAGATTGAGACATTTTTTTGTACGTGGTCTTCCCTTGACTACACATATAATGGGGGGGGGGGGCTTTGATTTTCTTGCTTTCTCAATTTGGGGTGGGGCGAGGGGTGTGAGGAAGGAAATGCAAATCTGAAAATAAAATCAAATTTAATTTTTAAAAAAAGTTTGCTGACTTGAAGTAAACAATGTTATATGTCAGTCAAGAAAGCTAATGCAGGGGCAGCTAGGTGGCGCAGTGGATCCTGGAATCAGGAGGACCTGAGTTCAAATGTGACCTCAGACTCATAACACTCACTAGGCCGTGTGACTCTGGGCAAGTTACTTAATCCCAAATGCCTCACCAAAAAAAAAAGAAAAAAAAAGCTAATGCAATCTTAGGTTGAATAATGTAAATGTAAATCAGTTTCTATCATAAGAGATGGGATAGTGCCCTAGTATATTATATACTGTGCCTTGGTCACATCTTAAATATCGTATTTAGTTCTGGACACCATGTTTGAGGAAGGACATTGATAAGCTCAAGAGCATCAAAAGGAAAACAACCAAAATGCTGGCAGGTCTCCAGATCAAGGATGAACTGAAGGAACTGGGGATGTTTAGCACAGAAAAGATAAGACTTGGGGGGAATATGATAATTGTTTTCAAGTTTGTGAAGAGCTGTAATACGGAAATGACATAAGACTAGTTCAGTCTGGCCTCAGAGGACAAAATCAGGATCAAGAGCTAAACATTTGAGCATCTCTAGTCAAGCAACCTTGGCCATGCTAGCTCTCTGAGACTACTATTTACTTTTTTTTTTAAGATGTTTAATGACTATCACTTTAATAATGCGGTCTAAAATTTCTCCAGAAATTGAACTCAAGTTAACTGGCCTGTAATTTGCTGACACCATTCTTTACCCCCCACCTTTTTTGAGGAAGAGGTGTGGAGATTGTGGGGGAGGGGGCAGAGAGGGTGAATCAGGATATTTGTCCTTCTCTACTATTCTTCAGTCTTTTAAAAATCACTGACAATGGCCTAACAATCATATAAACCAGGTCTTTAAGGACCATGGGATGCAACTTGTCTGTACCTTGTAACTTGAAACTCATGAAGGGATACTTGCTTACTTACTATCTTTTGACTTAAGAACACAAGGTCTAGAATTACAAGACATAGGCATAAATCCTGCCTCTGATGCTTAATATCTGTGTGACCTCAGGCAAATCACCCAACCTATACAGGCCTCAGTTTTCTCCTCATCTATAAAATGAAAGGGTTGGATTAGATGGCCTCTAAAGTTCATTCCAGGCCTAAATCTATGACCCTTTGACTTATCTTTAGGGTCAACTCCCTGTAGGCTTTTCTGTTCCATCTTTTCCAGTCCAAGGATCACTTTCCTTGGTAGAGAAAAAAGAAACAAGAGTTGAATAGTTTTGTCTTCTCTTTGTTGTCCACTGTCATTAATTATTCTTTCCACTTAAAGCAGAAGTCCTACTGCTTCTTCAATTCTACAACTTTTCCCGTAAGGTAGTTAAAAATTCCCTAAAATTCCTCTTTTTTGTTTCTTTAACACTCCTAATCAGCCTCAGTTCATTCTGACCTTTAACATTTCTGCCAATACACTGACAGGGCCCTATCATGTTTCTGTATTCATTCTATGCTTTTTTGCTTGACTTCAGCATTTATACACACACACACACACACACACATATTTATATAAATATACGTGTACATATTTTTAAAATCTATATTGGTTAATGAATTCCATGTATTCATATCAATCTCTGTAGACCATCTTCCTTTTTCATGTCATTGGAATTTTTCTCTACTTATATTTAGAATTTTATTTCTGAAAAGTTTCCATCCTTCCTGGTCTGATTTCCTCTGGAGGATTTTAGGCCATGGGATCATACCTATCCATTTCTTTTCTTTTCTTTCTTTCTCTCTCTCTCTTTTTTTTTAGGGCAATCTGAGTTAAGTGACTTGCCCAGGGTCAAACAGCTGGTAAATATCGGACGCCAGATTTGAACTTCGGTCCTTCCTGACTCCAGGAGCCTAGCTGCCCCCATTTTTTTTTTAAAGAAAATTTGAAAATCTGCCCTTCTTAAATTTAGGGTACAGGTCATACTATGCCTGGCTTTCTTCCCCTTTTGCAACACAAATTTTAAAATGATGTAGTGACTCCTAAAGTTCCTATCATTTCTATTTCAATAACAATTCCTCCTTGTTGTTCTGAATCAGGTCCAGAATAGTAGTGCCCCTTCTCATTTCCTCTACCTTCTATATCATAAACGACGAAACAAATGAAAAGCTCAGGAAACGGATCACAAAGCTGGAAATAAGGCATGTTATTGTAGTAATGGGGAAGGAGGAAGGGCACTTCAATTAATGGAATATCTAGTTGAACTCTGTCATTGCCTAAAACATATGTAATAACTTTTTGACTTGCTTAACAATAATTTCACCTTCAAAATGCAAAAGAAGCAAATGATAGGAAACTATTTTAGACTTAATTAAGTAGGTAGTACAAGTACTATTTACATTTTGTAAATAAAGATGCTAATGTTCAGAGATAAACTAAACTGCCCAAGGTCATTGAGATTATGAGTATTAGAGGCTGGATTTGAATTCTGATCTGTCTGGAAACCATAAAATGGAAAGAAAAATAGGTATAATATATGAAGAAAAAAAAAAAAGCTCGTCCAAACCTTCTTTTCTCAAGCCCCTATATGCAACTCCCTTATCAGCAGAGGGCCTTCACTGAAAAAAATGAAACCATGATTAACAGCTACCTCTCTCTGTACTCCTGATACCTACTTTTCAAACCACCTCTTCATGTTCTCCTCCACTGATTCAGTCGCAAAAAATGTGCTACCTCTTTCTAGTTCTTCTTGCCAGTGTCAAAGCTTCTTTTGTACTCTTCATTCCATACCCTTCAATCTTTCCTTTTCAATTGGTTCCTTCACTGCTATCTTTAAATATGCCCAAATCCTTTAAAAACAACAACTTCCTTCCTTCACTCTACCGTCTCCTCAAACTACTATCTTATCTTTCATACCTTTCACAGCCAAACTCCTAGAAAAAACTGTCTACTCATTGCCTCTACTTTCTCAGTCCTTTGCAATTTGGCTTCCATCCCTATCACTTCAATGAAATTTTTCTCTACAAAGTCAATAATGATCAACGTCTCTATTGCTAAAATCCAATAGATCCCATGGATTTTTTTTTCAGTTCTCATACTTCTTGATGTCTCTGCAGTGTCTAACACTGCTGACCATCCCCTCCTCTGAAAAGGAGCAGAGTGAGAAGTGGTAAGGCAGTAGGATCTCTCTGCTTACACCACAACCATCCTGTCACTGTCTGGATAAGTCTTCCTTACCTCTACCCTTCCACATCCTTAATTCCTCTTATGACCAAGCTCAAAAGCACTGCTATTTCCTTCAGATCTTTCTTGTTCCTGCCCTCCCCCAATTATCATCGTGCATTTTTTTGTAAATATGCAACCCTGACTTGCCTGTGAGCATATTGTTTTCCTTCTAATAGAATATAATTCCCTTGAGGATAAGGACTGCTTCACTTTAGCAAATGAACCCCCCAGCACCTAGCACAGTTACTTTCACATAGCAGTCAGATTAAATGATTTATAAATGCTTGCTGATTAACTATTTTAAAGATACTGAGAACATACCCAGAGGAAATCAAATCAACATGGTAAGTGGACCTGAAATCATACATACTACATGAGATTTAGGTAAATGACCCGGGGATATTTAGGCTGAAGAAGGGAAGACAGAGGAAGAATATAATAGCCATCCTCAAGTATCTGAGAGGCTCTTATGTGAAAGAAGGCTTAGACTTATACCAGGGATAAAAGAATGCAGAACTAGGAGCCATGTCAGACATTGTAGAGGGGAAGATTTTAGCTTAATAGAAGGAAATACTTCCTTACAACTAGAGTTTTCTGGGGCAGCCAGGTGGCACAGTGGATAGAGCTCCAGCCTTGGAGTCAGGAGGACCTGAGTTCAAATCTGGCCTCAGACACTTGACACTCACTAGCTGTATGACCCTGGGCAAGTCACTTAACCCCAACTGCCTCACCAAAAAATAAAACAAAACAAAAAAAAACTAGAGTTTTCTAAAAGTATAATGAGCCACCAGAAGATAGTAGGGCCACCAGAAGATGGTGAGATCACAGTCTTCAAACGGTGGCTGGATCATCACTTCTTAAGATCAAACTATAACAAAACTACTCCTATCCTCTTTGCCTTATTTACTCCATTAGACATGAGGGTTCTGAGGGGACATTTACATCTTCATCCTTTATTAGAATACAAATACTTCATCAATGTATGCTTTCTTCTAGTTGCTCAAATGTATTTACCATTCTGTACCTCTGTTGCCTGTATTTGCATTTTTAAATATCTACTAATCTCAAGTCTTTTAATCAGGAATACTAGGAAGTCCTCTGTTACATTAAAGATCTACTTTTTCCTCTATAAGACTATACTTATCTTAGCCAAGAAAGGTTTTGTTTTTGGCTGTAAACATTAAACTTTTGCTTTCAGAAATATAGTAATCCAAGCCAGAAATAAGCCCCGGCCCCTTCTCCATGCTCTATTAGCTATGTCACCTGAGGCAAGTCATTTCATTTCTCTGGGTCTCAATTTCTTTGCCAATAAAATGAGATTTGGACTAGATGATTTAGCTATATCCCTCCTACATCCGAAATCGTAGGATTATATAAGACTCTCTTTAAAGTTGTTCTCTTTTCCTCCCTCTCTCTCGCTTTGGAAACAACCTATGCATCCAATGACTGGGGAATGGTCGACCAAATTTTGGCATATATACATAATGGACTATCATATTACCTTAAGAAATGACAAATATGGAAAAATATAAGAAATATGGGAAGACTGTCACAAAATAGCAACGAAGTGATGAGGCATAAAAAATTTCAAATCCAAACCACTTGGAAGACAATTACATAAATAAGGATAGCAACAACAATTCATGAAAGATTGAATTATAAAAATAAAAAGTTAAGAAGGGAATATGAAAACAGGCAAAATAATTTTTAACATCAAAGCTAATTAAGTTTTTAAAAAATAAAAATCAATAAATTCTTGGTTAATAGTTAATCTTTGTTCATTACTAAGTTGATAACACATAAACAAGTTATTCTATTTATTTTTAATTCTTGGGAAAATATAGATGATGATATACCTGAAGATATTCCTGAAACTCTTCCCTCTTTGACTTTAAGAATTCATAGTTTTTAGGGCCAATGATCCTCTTGGAAGGAAGCTGAGCATCAGGAAATGTACCTGAAATTAGCATTTATTAAGGATTTTTATCACTATTGTGTATTTTTCTTTAAAAGTAACTTACAAATGTTTGACTACAGAAAGTACACATATATAATAACACTTCAGATTTATGTAGCATATTTTTTTCAAATAAGTTATAGATAATTCAACTTCTATGTAACTATTAAGTATTTTGTCTGTTTTTCACAAGATTAATTAACAAGGATTATTAAGCATGTGTCAGCCACTGGGGATGCAAAGACAAAAACTAAATAGCTCCAGAGCTTAAGGAGCCTTTATTATCTCAGGAGATTACACATACATCAATAAGTCTATACAAAATAAATATTTGGGGGAGGGAGGGTCACTGGCAGCTGGGAGATTAGGAAATGTTTCACGTTGAAAGTAGTGCTTAAATAGAACTTTTCAGGAAACAAAGGATTCAAAGGCATGGAAGCAAGGAGGGAGGAAGTTTCCGATTCCTCTAAGATAAATGGAGTCGTTTGGCCAAGAAAAGGACATTAAATATGTTTTTTTGTAAAAGAACAGATTTATCTCGTCAAAGGATATCAGATATTGTTGTGAGATATCTAATACAAGTAGAACAAGAACACTGTTTAATAAATACTGTTAATATGCATTGTGTAAGAAATTCAGCTTTCAGGTAGAATATGGACAGTTCTGGAGAAAAAACACCTGTGGTGAGGATGTGAGGACTTTGAACTATTTGTCAACAACATGAAATGCTGCTTCACTTGTGTGGCAATGGTTTAATGTTATAAAGAGACAGAAAAAAAGTTTATTAAAACACTAAAGAAATTAAATTTCAAGGGCACCAAAGAGCTATAAAGGACTGTGCAAAAGACTTCGGAGCACAAAGCATGATTGTTACCTCAACTGATCTGCATATATTGTCTTACGACTAAAGCAGGTGAAACCAAACAAAATGAGAAACCATATAAACTTTGAAGACTGGGTTATAATTAAAAAGCATTATAGATTTGATAGGGGAAATCGAGGGAACTGAGACGTTTCAAGTGAAATCACTGAAAATCAAGTGGGGGGGGCTGTCAAGCCATTAAAATGAATAGGAACTATATATAATGCATTTTCTTTACTATATTAGTATCCACAATTTAGCATCTTTTGTTTTACTATTAAAATAACGGTTATGTCAACAATAGCAAATAAATATTAAGCACCTACTATATGTCAGGCACTGTACCAAGACAATCAATAAACAAAAGGCACCATCATTAAGGGAGATCAGGAAAGGATTCTTATAAAAGGATTTTAGCTGGAACTTTAAGGAACTCAGAAACCAGGAAGTCAAAATGAGGAGGGAGAATATTCCAGGCATTGAGAACAGCCATGCCCAAAGCCTAGAGATGGAGTCTTGTTCAAGGAACAGGAAGGAGGTTACTGTCACTTGATGAAAGAATACAAGGGGAGGTATAAGGTGTAAGAAGACTAGAAAGGTTAGAGGTGGCCAGGTTGTAAAGGGCTTTGAATTTTTTATTTGATTCAGGAGCTGATTAGGAGTCACTGGAATTTCCTGAATAGAAAGGTAATATGTTCAGACTTTCACTTTAGGAAGATCAATTTGACAACTTATTATAAGATGGATTTGAGGAGAGAGAGAGACTTACAGCAGATAGACCAACTAGCAAACCACTGCAGTAGTCCAGGAGTGAGGTGTGGTTACAGTGTCAGAAGAGAGAAGGCAGCATACACGAGAAATTGGTAATACTGATAGGACTTGGCAAAATATTGAATATTGGGTGGAGAGGTGGATAAAAGAGTGAGGACTCAAGGATAACACTCAAGTTGTAAGCCTGGGAGACTGGGAGAATGGTGGTACCCTTGAAGTAACAGGAAGTTAAGTAAAGGAGACAGTGTAAGGGGAGATGATAAGTTCAGTTTTGGACACGGTTAATTTAAGACATCCATCTCTAACATCCAGTTACAGATGTCCAAAGGACAGTTGGAGATGCAATTCTGGAGGTTAACAGACAGGTTAGGGGTGTATAAGTACATGTGAGAATCATTAGCACAGAGAAAATGACTGAATCTATGGAAACTGATGAGATCACTAAGTAAAATAATACAGATAGAGAAGACAACCCTGTCATATGCCCACAGTTAGTGAGTATGACCTGGATAAAAATTTAGCAAAGAAAAAAGAAGGAAAGAAAGGAAATAAGCACTAATTAGAGGCACCTGTTAGGTGCCAAACATTGTGCTAAATATTTTGCAAATAGTAATTAGCTCATTTGATCCTGAGCTAATCCCTGAGAGTTAAGGACCACTATTACTTCACCTCCCCTTTCAGCAAAGGAAACTGAGGCAGACAGAGGTCAAGTGATTTACCAAGGATCACACAACTGGTATGTGTCTGAGGCCAGATTTGAACTCAGGTCTTCCTGACTCAGTACTCTAACCAATGTACCACCTATCTTCACAGGAGACTAAGAAGTAGTTAGGTAGAAGGTGATCCAAAATTGTGTCATGAAATCCTAGAGAAGAGAGTTTCAAAGAGAAAAGAGTGATCAATAGTGTAAAAGGCTGCTAAGAAATCAAGAAGAATGAAGATAGAAAAAAGACCATTAGGGGTAGCTAGGTGGCACAGTGAATAGAGCCTTAGAGTCAGGAGGACCTGAGTTCAAATCCAGACTCAGACACCTGACACTTGCTAGCTGTGTGACCCTGGGCAAGTCACTTAACCCTAACTGCCTCACTGAAAAACAAAAACAAAAACAAAAACAAAAAGACCATTAGATTTAGTAATTAAGAGATCATTGGTAACTTCGGAGACAGTAATTTCAGCTGAATGATGAGTTACAAGCCATACTCAAGACAGCTAAGAGGAGAGTGAAAGTAAAGGAAGTGAAGGTACATATTGTGGACAACCTTCTCAAGGAGCTTCACCACAAATGGGAGAAGAGATATGGGACTAGTGAGCATGGATGGATCAACTGAGGGCTTTTTGAGGAAGGGGAATACAGGAGCATGTGTGTAGGTAGTAAGAAAATAGCCAATATATATACACAGGGAGAGAATGAAGGATAAATGAGTGGGGAAGATAAAAGTACGTAATCTGCTGGAGAAGAGAAGATGAAATGAATCACTTGCCTATGTAAAGAGTTTTGCCTTGGCAAAGAGTAGGATCACCTTTTCATGTGAGAAAAGGGTGAAGACAGTAATAGTGGCAGAAGGCTTCTAAGTAATATGAGATGTTAGAAGAAAGGGAAAAGAGGGGCTCTCAGCAAATGGCTTCAATTTTACAAGATTCTCCAATGAGGGTGGGTGAGGGAGAAGGGGAAGTCATGGGAGGTTTGAAGAGAGATGAAAACGTTTGGAAAAGCTGCTGTGGTGAGAAAATGAGCCAATGAGATATAAAAAGAGTGGCTCTGGTTGTATCAATATCACACCGTGCAGAAGTGTTGCGTTGTGAATGTCCGGTTGCAGGTAGAAAACGCTTTGGATGAAGACTCAAGAACTAGAGTAGTGTGTAGGGAGAATATATTTCCCCTCACCAAGGAAATCTCTAGGAGAAAATGGAAATGTAATCCTGTGATGCCAGTCTGGGGACAGCTGGTTTAAAAGCAGGTTAGAAGGAATGAGCCAAACCCAGAGAATGAGTGCAATATTGACATACTCTGTGCAAGGGGAGATATACAAAGAGATATCTGGTGTAGCACAGGCATGAAAGATAACCACTGAAAAGACAAAGAGATGGGAGATGAAATGTGGGGATCAGCAAGAAGGCCAGTTTGGCTAGACTGTAAAGCAGAAATTAATCAACAAGCATTTACTAAGTATCTGTTTTGCACCAGGTACTGGAAGGAGAGTAATGAATATTAAAGCTAGAAAGATAAGTCATGGATAAGCATGGATAGGTTCTGAAGGGTTTTAGAAGCCAGATGAGCTTATATAGGCACAAGTACACTGCTGGACTTTACTGAAAAGGGGAGTGAATGATCAAATCTCTGCATATGGAAAACCACTTCAGCAGCTTTAGGAAGGCTAAAATAAAAGAAGGGTGAGACTGAAGGCATGAAGGCCCATTAGGAGGTTACTGCAAGAGTCCATTTGACAGGTTATAAGGGCCTGAGCTAGGGTGATGATGGTATGAGTGAAGGGAAGAGGATCAATATGAAATGATGTGGACTAAATTTCCTATAGATTCCAAATAAGATAAATTATATTTTACTGATATCAAGTGAGCAATATAGCAACAAACTAAAATACTCAAAGTAAGGCTACTCTTAGGGATTTAAGCCCAGAGTAAGAGTAAACTGGATCCCAACTAATCTTTTTCTGGCCCAGCAGAAAGAAAAGCAGAGGTTAAATTCCCTCTCCCAACCACATACCAGAAGAACAGTTGGTGGGAGAAATGCAAGGCTGTGAGGAGCAAAGGAGATCCTTCCTGAAGGTCAATAGCTCAGTCCAATTTGGTGGCTGTAGGATGTGGTCTTGAAATCTTTTGAGCTTTCCTTATAAATCCTCAGTCAAGAGCTTTATTAACATACAAGGAGGGAGAGAACTACTTCAGTTTAGGCCATCTAGAAAGGTGATGGCACTTGAGCTAAGCCTCAAAGAAAGGAATCTGAATGACAGAGATGAGAAGATAGTATCCTTCAAGCCCAGGGAACCACGCAACAAGGTAGAAGACAGCATGTTGAAAACTCAAAGCAATTCCTTGCCATAGACTTTCAATTTCCTTTCCTTTGGAGATTTTTCGTAACTCTTATGTGAACTTTAAAAGAAAGAAGTGTTTTTCTTTGCCAATTTCTTCCTAGGTCTATTTGTCAGTACCATACCCAAAAGGTACATCCAACATTATAATCCAAATATATAATTTTTCTTTCAACAGAAATATTCGTAAGACATTTAAGAGCTAAATCAAACATTTCTAGCCATATCTGTCAAAATGCTCACTGAAAATAAGAAATATATGTGTATATATCTATACATAGTGATACGAAGTTTATATATAGCTTGACAACAGTATCTCATTTTTTTCTTCTTAAAATAAGGCAGAGTAAAGTCATAAATCTCACACCCCAAAATTATCATGATACTTATAGAAATAAAGACCTTGAAATGAAAAAAAGGAAAACATACCATGAAATTCTGTTAGTTTTGATTCAAGAACATAAAATTCAAGGTATCTTCTGTAGACAGACCAATGCTCAGCTTCATGACCGACTGAAAAGTATATAAACATCAAACAAGAAAATGATTTTCTGCTTCATGAAAAGGTGTGAAACAGAAGCAGGGGTTTTAAGACAACAAATTATGATCCAGGAAAAAGCACTCCAAATCCTTCATAAAGTTATTCTTTTTACCCTATTATTGATATACCTTCTATTATAATTGAATTTAAAATAATGTAGATACTGATATAGCTAATCAATCAGTTCATGAGTTTTATACTATAAATACATATATTTTCTATTATAAAATTACAACACTAGAAGAGACCTTAAGGAATTATATAATTTAGATTTTAAAATGTAACTCTCTACAGGGATGATTTAGAGATTTCATAAGTTTAATGGCTCTCGAAATATCAAAATATTTAGAATCCTATTAATATTGTGGCAAATCAGAATCTTTGAGGTCATAAACATCCAACCACCTCATTTTAGAGATGAGGAAACTGTAGCCACTCAAGTTAAGTGACTTGTACAAAGTGAGTTAATGGCAGGACATGTCTTCTGATATCTAATCTAATGTGCTTTTTCAGTTCATGACGTTTTCTCTCAAGGCATTTTGTTATAGTAGAAACATACTATATGCTACACTTATTATACAGGTTTGGATTTAAGTTAAAAAGTGTTCCCCCAAACAAAATGACTGCATTGAATACAAAGTAAGTATCAGTAGTACTGGAGGTCACTAGGCAGCATATTGGACCTATAATCAGGAGTTCAAATCCTGCCTTAGAAGCATACTATCTGTATGACCCTAAGCAAATCAGTTAACCTCTGCGTTCCTTAATTTCCTCATTTATAAAATGGGGATAATAATAGCACCAATTTCCCAGGCTCCCCAGGTAGTTGAGAAGATAAAATGAGATGATATTTGGAAAATGTTTTGCAAACCTTAAAGTGTTGTATAAAGGCTAGGTATTATTATTGTTCCCAGAACAGTTATGATCTCTAAGATATTTAGTTTAACGGTTTTAGTTTGCTATAAAGTATTTAAATTGCTATAGATATTAAATACATATATTTAAGTGACGTTTCACCTAGGAATAACCCTAGAGTTAGGGTTTTTTTTTTTAAAATATAAAGTTACAGTTATCTGGAACTTCATCTATAGGAACCATAGCATGAGTTTAACAATAAAGCTTGCTATACTGCTGGAAAAATAAAATTAAAATGTATACTAGTTCTTCAAAAGTCTAAATTTTATTGCTTTTTTATGTTACTCTTTAAAAATAAAAAACCTGAAAAGTGCTAAAGTCATCAAAAGTGTAAATAATAATGTGAACAGTTATATAATTTAATTAATTTGATATGATTATTAAATGTAGTAATTTAAAATTGTTTTTACTAAGGGAAATAAATTCTTATATCTTATGTAAAATTCCAATGGCAAAGATTTACAACTAAAGAGTAAAAAGTTTTAGATAACTTCCTAAAAAGCAAGGTAAGCAGTAGTGGGAGCCACAGTTTAAGTATTATGCATATAAGGGAGCAGAATCCAATGCCTGTCAATGCCTGTCTCTCTTTCTAATCCCTCCTACCTCTTTAAATTCCAATCTACAGAAGTTGAAGAAAATAGAAGCAAGTAGTTATGTTCCTAGTGGGAATCAGCTGCAGCATTTTCAATGGCTCAGAACATGCACTTAAGAAAATGCTGAGGGAGAACAGCAACAGCAGCAAAACTGAGCAGCACTGCCTCAGATACGTACTTCAGGACTGTGCAGGACGAATATGGATTTGGGCTACTGCCAAAAGGCAAGATTCAGTTACTCTGGGTACCCCTTCCTTCCTGATCTCCACATTTCACTTTCTGGCAACAGCAGCTTTTGAGAAAACCAGGTAAACTTAATGCCTCTAGAAGGAAAGTCTCCCTGATCTCCACCTTACTCTCCTCCTGCTCTCCTTTACCCAAAACTTGCATGACTTTGCAGTACTCTTGTTTACAATGACTACCCCAATTCTTGGACCAAGTCCAGGGTTGCTGTTCACCCTCAGCATCTATCAGACCAAACCTGAAATAATCAAAAAGAAAATACACAGCAAAACAGGTAAGCTTTAAAAAAATATGTATTTGACTATGTCCTGTCAATTATAATTACATTACAAACAACATTACATTACAAACAGGTAAGAATGGCTTTCAAATCAAATCCTGTACAGAGTCTATGTATGACATTTGCTAAATAACTGATGATGATAAGTATGAGCTCCTTTAAAAAAAAAAAAAGAAGACTAACTACAATCCTACAAAATGCTAAGAGAATAATATTCAGTAGACTCAGGGCTCAAAAAATAATGACTGACAAAGAAGATAAATAAGATTCTACACTATTGTATTTTTTTGCATTGGAACTAAAGGCACTACTGTATTTTTTTTTAACATGGATCAATACCTATTACAACTGGCACAATGCTCATTAATGCCTGATAAATGGCAGGAGCTGAACAGAAGAACAATTCCACTTAGCTTTTAAGAAATTTTACTCCCACCTGCTCTTCTATCGTTCCTCTCAACGTCAATACAAAATACAGGAATTCTCTCCTTTTTCTCCTTCCTGTCAGCAGAAGAGGGGTCCTCAAAAAAGTCCACATATGGGATACTTATTTTCCATGCAGCAAGATTTCGGGGCGTACTGGGGGTGCTAACAGCCTCTACTGGAGAGTCATCTTCCAATACGACGATACCTTCTTCAATCTACAATGAAACATGAAGGTGATGTTAATATGACTTGGTTCAATTAAAACTACAGCTTACAACTACAAAGAAAACTGTTTTGTTTTGTTTTTTTAAACAAACATAGACATTAATACACTGAAATGAGTGCTGTTTCCTTCAAAGTCATTCTCTTGAGAGGCTACATGCTTTTCCCTATTACACTGTCCTTGCACAAGCAACTTTAGTACTATTCTTTTGGAATTGCCTTTCAGGCTGAAATAAATTCTTTCAACTTTTCTCTCACATTGCAAACCTGAATCCTTGGAAAGTGGATTTAATTTTTATAAACCACGAAAAGATATGTCATGCCAAGTCTAAAGAATGTGAAGGTAAACATGAAGTATGGCTATAACATGAGACTAATTTTTTTGGGTGATTCATGAGCTGATTCTGAAAGTAAATCTAGAAGAATTCCAAAAATGTTTTAAGCAATGATACCATGTCTGGAAAAATAGTATAGCTTCACAAGGTGACTAACCTCAAAGTCAACTAGTGAATATGTAAGTTGTGATATGTCTGTTTAAAAAAAAAAACACAAACCTTAGAATCATTCCACATAAATGCAAAGTTTTTTACAAATGGAGTCTGAAATATCTGTACATGATAGAAACAAGTCAGCTACCTTTCCTGCTTTTCCTTTATATATTCTCTTCCAGAGTTACTGTTAGTTAGAATGGCTGATTTTCAAAGGGTTGTTTTTCATGTACTGGTATGAAATTCCACTGCCTCTATAAATTCATGTCTGACCACTTCAGTCCAAAGTGATCAATCACTTGTTCCTGTCAATTCTGATAGCACTTACAGTCTGCACCACTCACTAGGCATGTACCATAAAATGCCATAGTAATTCACAACTTCATGTGCAACTGTCTTTTCTGTTCTTTGCATACTGAAATGTGATGTCTGCTGGCGCTTAATTTCATAAAAAAAGAAAAAAATTTTAAAAACTAAATTCTATCAAATTAGCTCTAAAATCTTTAATAAATTAAGCTCATTTAGGATAGTAAATAAATAACTTTACTACTGAAGTGCTATATCAAGTCAAGCCTTGGGGCAGCTAGGTGGCGCAGTGGATAGAGCACCAGCCCTGAAGTCAGGAGGACCTGAGTTCAAATGTGGCCTCAGACCAAACACTTGACACGTACTAACTGTGTGACCTTGGGCAAGTCACTTAACCCCGACTGCCTCACTCACTCAATAAATAAATAAATAAATGAATGAATGAATGAATGAATGAATGAATGAATGAATAAATGACTGTAAAGTCAAGCCTTAATCAGCTATGCCATGAGAAGGAAACATTGATTTTAATTTTTTTTTTTAAACAATCATCCATTGGTAAGAGAAAGAAAATAACCAGCATCCCTGCTGGCCAGCAGTCAAGATTTTAGGGTACTCTTCTGTAATTTGAGGGCCACTGCAATGAATAGCAGCCAAAGACAGTAAGCAATGAGAAATGTCACAGATTAAATTTAAGAAATATTTACTTTAAGAGTTTGCTATGTAAAAGACACTGCAACTGAGAATATAAAGATGAAAAACAACACTGCCCCTGCCATCAAAGAGGCTGCAATTTAATAGGAAAGGTATAATATGTACATGAAAGACTCCTCAAAAAACCAGAGTACAGTATTGGAGTATCAAAGAAAAATATTAATATGATACATAGTGATTTAGGAATGGGTCCACCAGAAACAATTTTTATTAACATTATTCTATATCCAAGCATTTCTAGCTTAGAAGGAGAAATGGTCAAACTGGCATACTCCATTTCCTCCCCCACCCAAGTCCTTGGACACCTTTATAATTCAAAGCAATTTAGGGTAATATTTAGAGGAATCTTGAAGCAAAAAAATGATGTTAAAATACAATATGGGGGCTAACATTCCAGAATTCTAGTCACCAAAATTAGTCACTTAATCTTCAACCAGAACTATGCAATTCCTTCCTTTAACCAATCCCTTCAAAGGTTTTCTCCTATAGCTCAATATTGTAATACTTTCTAAAAATGAAAGTACTTCTCTCAAGTGGGTCAAAGGGCAATAGGGAATCAGGGAAGGCAATGATCTTAACTAGACAAGAACTATTTCTCTTTCTATTTCAACTTTTGTTTGGAACCTTTTTTTACATGTTTTCTTAAGATAAAAAGAGTTTTAGGATACAGAAAATACTATTCTTTAATATTTTCAGTTGAACTAAAAAGGAGATTTTTAATATGCCTCTGGAGGTACATTCCTTATAGCTGTGACACTGAAAAATTTGACTTTGGTGCTGGTGGGCATTTACAAACCTTGAAGGATGATGCTTTCTTGAACTCTAGAAAAGAGTAGCATGGTACAATATGATGTTTGTTTGGGGGGTTTTTTTTCCCCAACAATGTCCAATTTTTCCAACTTCTCCTAAAGGGTCAGGGCTTGGTTTTTGTGACCCATTTGGTTTTTTTATGTTTTACTAAAGTGGGCAGTAGGAAATAATAACAATAGATAGCATTTATATAGAGCTTTAAGGATCACAAAGCACTTTTCAAACTATCCTTACAACAATCCTAGGAGACAGGTGCTGTTATACCTATTTTAAGGCTAAAGAAACTAAAGCAGGGACAGCTAGATGGCACAGTGAATAGAGCACCAGCCCTGGAGTCAGGAGGACCTGAGTTCAAATCCAGTCTCAGACACATAACACTCCCTAGCTGTGTGACTCTGGGCAAGTCATTTAATCCCATTTGCCTCACCCCAAAAAAAAAAAAAAAAGAAACTGAAGCAGACAAAGGTTAACTGACTTGCTAGTAAGTGTCTAAGAAGGGATCTGAACTGAGGTCTTCCTGACTACAGGTCCAATGCTCTAACCACTGTGTGCCTAGTTCCAATATCAAGTACTAAAAGTTTAATTTTTATGTTTCTGAAACTTGTCCCCAAGAAATGTGAATGCATTATGAGCCACATGTTAGTTGTGTGGAGGTGTTGACTTCATTCAAAACATAACATTAACTGGCAAGGAAAAAATGAAGTCCTGTATGAACATAAAAAGTTGATTAAAAGTCTGATAATAACGGGATGTTCTAAGAAGAAACAAATACTTGCAGAATAGACCTAACTCTTTTGTGATGACAGTCAAACCGTTTTTGTATTACATTTGTTTGCATGTCTTATTTAATCTACCAGAGAAGTAGACACTCAGAGTTGTAAAGGATTTGAGAAACCATCTAGTCCACTCTTGGCTAATTTTGATTTGCTAACCCTGAATACTAAGTGCAATGCCTTGTATATACTAGATGTTCAATGGTTACTGAACTGATTTTAATTAACTTACTAAGGCAAGACACCTATTATTTTATATGTAACAGGGCACTAAAAACAAGCTCCACAATTAATGTGACTCCAAGAACTTTTTTATTTTTTTGGCTTTCAAGAGATGGTATCCCTGAGAACGCTCTCTAAAACATCCCCAACAACTGGATACTTCTCATCCAGTAAGAAGGAATTCCTCTGGGAGGCCAGGTGGCACAGTGGATAGAGCATCGGCCCTGAAGTCAGGAGGACCTGAGTTCAAATCCGGCCTCAGACCAAACACTTGACACTAGCTGTGTGACCCTGGGCAAGTCACTTAACCCCAACTGCCTAAAAAAAACAATCAAACAAACAAGAAGGAACTCCTCTGCTCAAGGGAAACCAATATACTTTTGGATATCCTTAATCATCAGGAAGTTCTCCTTACATGGAGCCTAACTCTCTCCCTATGTAACTCTACTCATTGTGCAGGTACTGCCCTCTTGAGCCAACTATCACAAGTTTAATTCTTCTTTCCTACGACTGCCCTTCAAAAACACAAAGACAGCCACCCTAGACTTTCTGTTCCCTTCATTTCTCCTCCTCCAAGTGAAAAATCCCTAAGTGCTTCAACTGATCCTTGTAAAACATGACCCCAAAGGTTCTTCACCATTCTAATCACCCTTCTTTGGACAATGTCCAGATTAGTAATATTCTTCATTAAATGCAGAGGGCAGAACTGAATGCAGTAATTGAAATGCTAGCCTATTCTATTGTGAACTCCCTGAAAACAGGAAATATCACTTATTTTTGTATCTCTCAGTGTTTAATAGAGTGTACACACTACAAATGTAATAAACGTTTATTGAATTGAATGGCAATTAAACTGTTTTTAAAGGCTTTACTATGTTTCTGAATGCAAGTAGAAGTTGCTAATTTCAAATTAGTCATTTAGGTAGTCAAAAGAAGACTCTTTGGAAACTTTCTGCTTCCAATAATTCAAGCAACCATAAATTATAAAACTGGGGTTCTTTAAGAATACTCTATAACATTTACTTTTCATTAATTTACACTGGATTTTTTCTCAGCTGGAATGAGGTTTCTTATTAACTTAATTCTATTGTTAAATTCTTAATTCTATTATTTAAAATTGTTCTATATTTCTGCAATGGAACTCAAAATAATAAGATTTACTGATTTGGCTTATGATGAAATTATTTGCACTTCAGAAAAATGGCTGCTAAAAACAGAATGAGGTACACGGAGACAGCAAGCTTTCTACTTTTGAAGCTGGAATAGGAGTATATTAAACCATGCTGGAATAAGGATATATTTCACTATGTCAACATCATGGAAACAATGCCCCCTCTTGAAAGAAAAAAAAAGTTCTTGGAGTTACATTAACCATGAGGTTTGTTCCTTAATGCCCTGTCAACTAGAAAATTGTAGATAACTTTCTGCCTTAGTAACAAAAGTAAAATCAACTCAAGAGGCATTTGTTGAGCATTTAGTACAGACATGGCACTGTGCTTGCTATTCAGAGTTAGTAAAGCAAGATTAACTAGCAAAATGCTACTAATTAAAGAAAAACTATGGAATAAGAGATGTAAGGGTGAGAAGAAATGGTAAAATAGTAGTAGATCTAGATTTATCTACTGCAGCAAATGAAAAATCAGATGCACTGAAGCAGCTAGGTGGCGCAGTGGATAGAGCACCGGCCCTGGAGTCAGGAGGACCTGAGTTCAAATCTGGCCTCAGACACATAACACTTACTAGCTGTGTGACCCTGGGCAAGTCACTTAATCCCAATTGCCTCACCAAAAACAAAAACAAAAACAATCAGATGCACGTTCATCAATTCCAGAAAATTTACTCACAAAATCATCCTCGCCTTCAGTTAAACCATAATTAGGCAGCATAGCTCCCTCCATTGTAGTACTTTTGAATACTCCTTTGATTTTGCTGCCTATTTTGCTAATTCCAAATGATTCTCCTCTTTTCTGGGTGCTCCTGAATAAGCAAAAATACATTAAACAGAAAGCGAACAACAGTATTACTTTATAATTTGATTAAATGATATGTAATAAAAGGCAAATAATTTAAAAAACAAGTCACCTATAAGTATGACTATCATGATTTGAAATCTTAAAGTCAGATCATAATTCTTAAAATCTTAGAAGCTAAAAATTGCACAGGATACGTTATACAGCAAAGTTATAAGATACCTAAAAATAAAAACCATGACAATAAAAAATACTAGTAAATATTTATGATATACATAACAACTTCAAAATATCAATTTAAAGGCTAACATTCAGAAGGCCAGAGCTAACCTTGTGATATTTTGTTCATACAGCAACATAAAATATAGATATAATACTCCACTAAAATAAAAAATCAAAACAGAATAATGATATGCAATTGTTCTTGCTAACTACAATACGATGAAGCAAATCACACATACTTTGACCTTTTCAATATTTAATGCTTACATAAACTTAAACTTGATAGAAAAGAATTCTGTTAGTTTATTTTAACAAATAACAAAGGTTAAAACAGTATTCAAACTTTTAAAATATTCTAAACATTCAAAGAGTCATACTGTAGGAGATGGATCTTATTTTATATCCACATATCAGAAATAAAAAATTGTCCAAAGGAATGGTTAGGGTAATCATAAGGATAAAAGCTAACATAACAACATTCAGCAAAAAAAGCTTGAATACAAACGTTTGCGAACTTTAAAAAACAGACACAGCCCCAAAGCAACAAAAAAGTGAGCATAAAAGCAATTATTTGCCTCTAGTTATTCATTATTGTTACATTTCAGCATCCATAAGCATACATTTTAGCCAGCTCCTAAACTCATGCTTACCATGTATTACTGCCCTTACAGCAGAACAACAAACAAAAAGTCATCTTTAGATTTGGAAAATAAGCATTTAAAATACCTAATTATATGCCAATATTGAAGCCCTCTAATAACAAGACACCAAAGAATTTACTGTACTAATATAAATATATTGACAATAAATAAATGACTAATGATTTCAAAAACTGTAGGTAATGTGACTATACACATTTCATGTTTAGATTTTGAAATGCAAAGCAAAATTAGAATATTCTTTTCTAGTAGAAATAAATGGAATTATAGATACTTTATAAATAACAATGATACAAATCTGATAGTTTTATGGGAAATCCTGACGTAAAAATTTAAGAGTTCTTATTCTAGTTCACTCTGAATGGTTTTAAGATTCAAGAATATAGTAGGCAAGACATTGTTCCTACACCATAAATATGAACAGTATTTGCAACATAATTTGAGATTTTCTAAATAAAATGCTTATTAAGAATGATGACACATTATACTTTGCAGTTTGTGTAATTTTGTACTGTATACAAATCGTTCATCACTTTTCTTGCAGTGACATCCAAGAACACAAAAATTAAATCATATCAATGAACTAAAATTTAAAATATCAACTATTTTCTGGGTCCCTGAGTCCTACTTGGAGGAGAAATAAATAAAAGCACATAAATAAAATCAAGGAATCAAAAATCTATGATCCAACATATCTGAAAGAATGTAATTTATTAACTATATGCAATATGCTATTTCCTAAAAAAGGATGACTAAAATATGATGGCTCATTTAAAAACGAAATTCCCAATTAGCTGATGTAAAGGCAGCAGCACAGCAGTATCTTTCTTGTCATATGGAGCAAGGTGCAGTTTGTAGCATTAAACAGGCAACATATTTTTTTAAATTACATGCTGGCTCAAAACTTACCGAAAATCATCCAAACTTAGGCTACCTCTGCAATAACAGATATGTGAAATCATACATGGAAAGGTGAGTAGGAAAGTCTGGAAATAAGCAAGCTCCAATTCAAAAACTAAGAAAGTTTAAAAAATTAATCAGGGATATAATACTGATATTTATATAGGAAAAAATCCTTAGGAATAATGTCATAAAATTAATAGAAACACATGGTAACATGGCTAAATAAGTGGGCCTGGTCCAAGTTTTAGATTTTCACAAAAAAGAATTTTTGAAAATCTGTTATATTTGGAATCTTTCTGAATTAAATATAAATTTTACTCTGATCTGGGGACATAAAATGTTTGATACACTGACAGCTAAGAAGAAATTGGAACATTTTTTAAAAATCTACATCATATTTTAGCTTCAACGTTTATTACAAGTACCTACTCTGGCAGAGGTATTTTCCAATTCCCGGAAAATTCACCACATGTTCATTTATCCTGCTAAGTGTATTGTATAAAACATGAACCATTTCAAATCTATTTAGTGCTCCAGGTAAAATGCAGAATTTATCAACACATTCTCTATACAGATTTGGTTCTCAATTTGTTTATAGATTGTCTAAGTAAATTCATTTTGTGATCCACCACATGGTTTTAAAATTATAAGGTAATTATATATAAATTAGGTTATATAATATATAAATATAAAATTATAAGGTAAACTGATTCAGTATAAGGTAAACAATTCAGTTTGTGAAGTGTTAAACAAGCTTTTCTCTCCCTGTGACGTTCTTTTGATTATTCTTTGTGTGCTCAATTTCAACCCAGGTGGTACGTGGGGGAAGGGAGAAAAATCAGTTCATGTTTATGACTGAAAAAGCACCCTGTAAAAATATTCATTAGGGAACAAGATCAGCAATAATGCCAAAAATTAGATTTACTGTGATTATCCATGGTTTCCAATAAGATGGGTAATCAAGAGCTCAAATATTAACTTTAGGCTTAACTAGCTAAGAACTTATATCATTTTGCTCTCTATGGTATTGTAATTCAACATCTAAATTGTTTTAGTCCACTCATATTATAAGGCCATCTGTGTACTTAATATTTATCAGTCTAAGAGTTCATAGTGCCAACACTCAATGATTATTTTTTATAACAATAATTAGTCAGTGAAATTGTCCAATATGCATACCTGTTGAATTTTGAATTTCGTGTTGGTGACTCTGCTCCTCTTAAAAGCTGTCTGAAATACTGGAAAGGGGACGGGGAAGGAAAGAGAAGAGAATATGCATTTATATGGAACCTACTAAGTGCCAGGCACTGTGTTTAAGCACTTTTTTTTTTTAAACAAATAATGTTATTTGATCCTCACAACAGCCTGTCAGATAGGTGCTGCTATTATTCTCATTTTACAACTGAGGAAACTGAGGCAAAGAGGTTAAGTGACTTGCTCAGGGTGACACAGCTAGTAAGAGTTTGAAGCGGAATTTTAACTCGGGACTTTCTGATTCCAGACCCAACACTATCTGCTGTGCCATTCTTTGATATTACCTCATGTTAACTTTAAATAAAAGTTTTCCACCTCCCAATAAAGTTATCTATATCAGACAAATTCAAAATCCTTCACAAAAATCCCATTCCTACAAGATGAGAGCTAGTTCCCACCATGGAAATGAGATGATCTTAGGCTCTCAAGAATTATGCCAGGGGCAGCTAGGTGGCCCAGTGGATAGAGCATCAGCCCTGGATTCAGGAGGACCTGAGTTCAAATTCAGCCTCAGACCCATAACACTTACCAGCTGTGTAACCCTAGGCAAGTCACTTAACCTCATTGCCTAGCAAAAAAAAAAAAAAAAAAAAAAAGAATTATGCCAGAAGAAAACTAAGCACCACCAGGTTCCATAGAACCACAAAACCAGGTTCCATAGAAAGACTTCAAGGGTAGGTTTCATAATACATCAAAGGATCAGTCTAACTATCTTAAGATATTTGGACAGTGGGTGATGAATTTTTGGCCATGGGAGCCAAAATCAACACCAGTCTATAACATGAAATTATTTGCAAAACATGACAGAAGAGAAAGGAGGAGGGTGGAAGATTACACATAGTACCACTTTACAAAACAGTAAAAAGCGATTAGGCCCTCAGAGGCCTTGAGATATCAGATGAATCCAAGAAAATCTGGAGATGAAACCAGAAGGCCAGCTGCCCTAGAGGTTTCCACATCTGATGCAATGGATGATTTTGAGCCTGAGTGTTCAGAGAAACAATTACTTTACTAAAAATAAACTCAATGACTCCGAGGTAAATGTAGCCCACAATAAGATAAAAGTAGCCCATCAAGGATGTTTGCATGGGGTCTCAGAAGCTCCTACTTCAAGCCATAGTGTGGCTCTTAATGTAATAATCACTGTTCAAAGGGGCAACAGCTAAGTTTCAGGTCATCCTTGTTGTTGTTCAGTCATTTTCAGTTGTTTCTGACTCTGTGACCCCTTTTGGAGTTTTCTTGGCAGAGAACTGGAGTGGTTTTCCATTTCCTTCTCCAGCTCATTTTACAGATGAGGAAACTGAGGCAAACAGGGTTAAGTGACCTGCACCAGGTCACAAAGCTAAAAAGTGTTTGAGTTCACATTTGAACCCAGATCTTCCTGACTTCAGGCCCAACACTCTATCCTCTGCACCACCTCGCTGCCCCTTCAAGCCATCTTCCTTGGGACAAGATAAATTTAAACCTATCCCAGTCCTGGCTCACAACTGCCCTGGTTGACTGAGTGGTGACAGGAAGAAGGGTTAACTCAAGCTGCCCACAGCAATCCATACCCCCAAAATCAATCCACCCCCTAACCCGAGTGCCAATGACCAGGGCAGCCAGATCAAAAACATCAGCTACAAAGCATGATTCCTTGCCCCTACTCCTAAATCCTCATGGTAAAAAAGAGGGGGACTTCTCAAATCAAAAACAAAGGGTTATCATATGCTTTTCTGGACTGTTGCCTACTCAGCAGACCAATAAGCAGTATGAGTTATGACCCTGGCCACCCAGGTTGCAAGGATGGGCTTGGGAGGAGCAGACCACTATGGGCTAGAGCAGGGGTCAGACACCTGTGGCCTCAGGGCACATGTGGCCTTCTAGGTCCTTGGGTTGCAGTCTTTTGACTGAGTCCAAGTTTTACTGAACAAATCCTTTTATTAAGGGGATTTGTTCTGTGAAGTTTGGATTCAGTCAAAGGGCCACACATTCCTCACTCCTGGGCTATAGGCTTGAGTCAACTCTCAAACCTTCAGGCTGACCTGATGTGGAATGTGGAAACCTCTTTAAGGACACCAGCAGACAGACACAAATCAGTACCGCCAGAATCTTATCATTGACAATAATAGAACTTCCACATTAGGCATCAACCTTAGTACTCTGAAAAATCTGCATTAGATTTAAGAAGTCAGGAAGAATACTTGGAACTGATCAAATATGTGCAGAAGAAATCTGAAACAAAAGTAACACCATTATAAAGGCACTCAGGGATCAACTTTCATAATAACTCAAAGAAGATAATCATAGGATTACATGACCTCAGAGAACCCAAACTAGAAGTTCATGAGGTATAAAGGCCCACTGCCACTAAGATTGCTTCTCTCCCCTCCTTCTTTCCCTTGTGACTCCCTCCCCTGGCAACCCATCTAGGATAGCCAGGAAATAGAAAGGCCCATCATCAGGAAGGTGTCCTTTTACCATTTCTTTATTCCTAACTCCAGGCCTCCCAGAATCCTTCTGGGTTGCTGGACTATATACTCATTATGGCTGGGCTATATACACATCACTCTATTCTTTCTGGTGAAATGGAAGCTCATCAGACCATACCACTTTCCCTGTCACTGTGTCATAAGGTCTCCATAACATACAATCAGTTGTGCCTCTATGTCTTCCAGATCTCCAGACTCTAATGATGTAACTAACCTAAGGACCCTTAGGCCATGCAATTCAACTTGCTAATATACCCTTAAGACTTCTGGGTCCTTCCATCTGCCCTGATATTAACTTTCTTTTATGTGTTATCTCCTTCAATTAGAGTGTCATCTCCTTGACAAGGGAGAATTATCTCAATTTTTCTATTTTAGTACTTAACGCAATAGGATAACAAGGTGGCCCAGTGGATAGAATGTCAGGCCTGGAGTCAGGAAGACCTGAGTTCAAATTCAGCCTCAGACATTGTGTGACTCAGGGCAAGTCATTTAACCCTATCTGCCTCAGTTTCCTCATCTGTAAAATAAGCTTAAGAAGGAAATGACAAACCAATTCAATATCTTTGCCAAGAAAATCCCAAATGGGGTCAAAAAGAGTCAGAATCAACTAAAAACAACTCAACAACAACTTAACACACCTCATTTCCACTGCACCATACCATCTTCCTAAGATTCTAAAAGAATAGAAAATAAAATCAATAGCATTTTCACAGACAGAAAAAAACCAACACCGACCAATATCAGAAACTTATGATCCACAGATATACTTTCTCACTGACATAAAAATCATCTACAAGCAAAACCTCAGAGAAAAACACAGCCTGGGCGCAAACTCAATGGCAATCCCTGGAAGAGATGAAGCGGGCATTAAAAAGAACTTAAAAATGTTTTTTATAAATGGAATGAGAGCATTGGAGTAAAAAATTGGAAAAGAAATGAGAGACACAGAAGAAAGAAGTAGAAAGGGAATAAACAGCATGGCACAAATTCTGAAAATCAGAATGGTGGAAATAGGAACCAATGACTCCATGAGGCAACAAGAAATATTAAAACAAAGTTAAAAGACTGAGAAAAAAAAAAAACAAGAAAATATAAGATGTTTCTTTTTCTTTTTTTTGGTGAGGCAATTGGGGTTAAGGGACTTGCCCAGAGTCACACAGATAGTGAACATAACTGTGTCTGAGGCTGGATTTGAACTCAGGTCCTCCTGACTCCAGGGCTGGTGCTCTATCCACTGCGCCACCTAGCTGCACCAAAATCTAAAATATTTCAAAGCAATAACTACCTACCCGGAAAACAGAATGAGGAGAAAAAATATTTAAGAATCACTGGACTTTTCTGAATGCTATGACCAAAAAAAGGGGCTACACATTCTATTTTGAGAAGTCTTAAAAGAAATTTGCCCAGATCTCTTAGAACCACAGGGCAAAGTAGAAGGAGAAAAAAAAGAATCCACCAGTCAGGTACTGAAAGAAATCCTCAAATGAAAACTCCCAGGAATATCACAGCCAAAATCCAGTTTCCAAATTCCAAATTCCAGGTCAAAGAAAAAAATACAACAAGCAGCCAGAAAGAAATAATTCAAGTACCAAGGAGCAATAGTCAGGATCACCCATGATTTAGCAGCCACCCATATAAAGAAGCAGAGAACTTGTGATACAATATTACATAAGGCAAAAGATAATGTGTTATAGCCAAGAATAAACCCAGAAAAACTGAGAATAATACTATAGAGAGGGGGAAAATGGACTTTTAATGAAAAAGAGAACTTATGAACATTCAAGAAAAAAAGGCCAGAGCTGTAGATAAACTTTGAAGTTTAAACACAGAAGGGAAGACGAACACAAAAAGGTAAACATGAATGAATAATGATAAAAGACTACAGAAGACTAAACTGCTGTCATTCAAATACAGGGAGATGATACACGCGTCCCCTCTAAACCCTATCATTATCAGGATTCACAAAGAGAATCCAATTAGACAAAGCTGAAAATGTTCTGTTATATCTTGATAATCTTAACAAAAGAAGGAAGAAAGGAAGAGGAATACACTGTCAGGGGGCACAGGAGGAGGAAGAGCTAAAAAGGAAAAGGAAAATTAGGGAAAACTATCTCACAAACTTAGGGTGAACAAGTAGATATCCATACCAATAAGGAGGACAGGACGGAGTAGCAACTGATACCTAAGCCTCATCTTATCTGAACTGGTAAAAAGAAGGAAGAACATATACACAAACACACTCACAGACCTAGCTGAGTATAGAAATACATTTTACTAAGTAAGAAATAGGAAAAAGGGGCAGGAAACGGGAGAAGGGGAGGGGAAATTAGAGGAAAGGTAGATTAAGAGAGGGATTATATTTAAACAAAGAAACTAAAGATATATAAAAATATTTATAACTTTTTTTGAAGTGGCAAAGAATGGGAATCTGAAAAGATGCCTAGAAAATAAGAAACTGATAAACAAGTTATAGCACATAAATGTAATGGAATATGATTGTGCTGAACTCTTATCAGTGTAATGACCAACCACAATTCCAGCATATTGATGATGTAATATGCTACACACTTGCCTGATGGAAACATGAAGAACTCAGAAAAAATGAATGAGACATTTAGAATGAGACAAAAATTTTTTTGGACATGACGAATGTGGAAAGTTGCTTGGACTGAGTAAATGTGTCTATAATGGGCTTAGTTTTCCTTGTGTTCTCAATTGAGGTAAGAGTTGGGAGGGTAAGAACGCACATCTGGGCTTACTAAAACAAATAAAATATATACATTGTTTTAAAAAGTTGAAGTGAATAACATGTGTGGAAGAGATGATAGTGCCAGTGGAGAATATTCCCATAAAAATAAGGGCAAAGGTCCAACCAAGTATCTACAAAATACAGTCATATCTGAGTAAGACAACTATTTAGAGAAAAATAAAAATTTAACCTAATCTAATTTTCAGTGGTGTCCCTTTGTGCTTGGAAATTCTATAATTCCTGAAAGGCATTACAATCAGAACAGTTTCCCAGGCTTTGATATGTTACCCAGTCATCTACAAAAACCATGGAAAATCAGGTGAAATTAATGTTTCAGTCCCATCTTATCTAACTATATCTAAACAGATCTGGACTTAAAATTTATGACACTGGGGCAGCTAGGTGGCACAGTAGATGGGATACCGGCCCTAGAGTCAGGAGAGCCCGAGTTCAAATCCGGTCTCAGACCAGATACTTTACAACTTACTAGCTGTGTGACGCTGGGCAAGCCCAACTTAACCCCAACTGCCTTGCAAAAAAAAAAAAAATTAACACCATTTGCCATTAACTACCAATGCCTGCTAATAATCTCATTTGGGGAAAAAGTATATGCTTTCCTTTTGTACCTTATTATAGTCAATGTCAAATGCTATTAACAGGCTATTCTTACATAAAAAAATTCACTTCCTTCTACTTTCTCTTTCACACAACAGCTGTTCTACTTTTCTCTACCAACCTTGCACACATTGCATGTAAATAGTGGTTGAATAACTGAATGCTAGGGCTAATAAGCTTTTTATTAAAAAAAAGCCTCTATACCAAGTTCACTCCCAACTTACCTCATCACTGTGACAAAACATAGGAGTAAATACATTCTCTAGAAGAGAAAGAACATGCTCATATGCTTCAAACAAGCATCTCATAGTTTGAAGTTTCACAACATCTATATAGATGCCATCAGCAACTAGAAAAAAATAGAAAAATAAATGTAGAACAATACAAAATTTACTTATTTCTTAAGTCCATGATAATGAAAGATAACATGAAAATACTACAATCTACACTTTATACAAATAACACTACATTTTATGCTTCAACAAGTCAAGTCAGTCAACGAGAAATTTATGAAATGCTTACTATGTTTTCTAAGTGATGGGGATACCAAAAAAGGTAAAAAAAAACCCCAAAACTGTTCCTCTATTAAAAGAATGTATATTCTAATGAAGCAGACAACATGTAAATAACTAGGTGCACATAAGATATACAGAGTGGGGCAAAGGTAATCTGAAAGAGGAAGATATTAGTAGCTGAACAGAAGAGAACAGGCATCCTGCAGGTGGGAAGTAAGCTGAATCTTGAAGGAAGTCAGGGAAATTAAGAAGAGGATATGAGTGGGCAGACAATTCCAGACATGGGGGACAGGCCAGTGCAAAGGCACAGAGACGGAGATGAAATGTTGTGTTCGAGGAACAGCAAGGAGGCCAGTGAATCTGATCAAAGAATACATAGAAGGGAGTAAGATATAAAAAGGTAGGAAGGGGCCCAGTTACAAAGAGCCTCCCATGTCAAACAGAGAACTTTGTATTTGGTCCCAGAGATAATAGGGAGCACTGGAGTTCAATGAGCTAGGTGGTGGCAACATGGTAAAAACCGTGTTTTAGAAAAATCACATTGACAGTTGAGTAGAAGATAGACTGGAGTGGGGAAAAGGATTGAGGCAGACAGCCCAGTTAGAAAGCTATTTCAGTAATCCAGAAGAGAGGTAATGAGGGCCTTAAAAAGAGTTGTGGCTATATGAATGGAAATAAGATAACATATATAAATGATGCTATAAAGATAGAAATGGCAAGTTTTGGCAAAGGATTGGGGGTAAGAGAGACTGGGGAATTGAGGATGACACTGAGGTTCTGAGCCTGGGTGACTAGTAGGATGACAGTACCTTCCACAGTAACAGCAAAGTTTGGAAAGGTAAAGGTTTGCAGAAGAAGGATAATGAGTTCTGTTTCAGATATGTCGAGTCCAAGATGCTTAGGAAACACCCAATCTGAGATGTCCAAGAGGCAGATGGAAATGAGTACTCCCCAAGTACAGCTTGGGGAGGGGCCAGGGCTGGATATTTAGATCTGAGAATCATCTGCACAGAGATGCTAAGTGAACAGAAGAGATCTGGTGAGATCCCCAAAGCACAGGGGAAAAAAAAAAAAAAGGAGGGGGGACCCCAGGACAGAGCCTGTGGGGACACCAATGGTTAGTGGGAATAACCTGGATGAAAAACCAGAATTGGGGACAGAAGAAGCAATGGGACAGATAGGAAGTGAATCAGGAGGGAACAATGTCAAAAATGACTAGAGAGGAGAAGGCATCCAAAAAGAGAGTATGATCAACCATGCTAAATGCTGAAAAGAGGTCAAGGAGAATCAAAATTGAGAAATGTACATTAGATTTGGCAATTAAGAGACTATGCAAACTGCGGAGAGTAGTTTCATTTCAACGATGAAGGTGGAAGACAAACTGCAGAGTGTCTGCAGAAAAGAGAGGAGAGGATGTATAAGAACTCATTGAAGAGTGCTTTCTCAAGCTTAGCATTTAAAGGGAGAAGAGATACAGGAAGATATCTAGTGGATTGATGGATCAAGTGAAGGTTTTTACAATTTAAATGTACATTTAGTTTATTGGAAAGAGTAAAGTACAGGAGAAGAGCTGGGCTCTAGTCTCAGCTCCAGGTGGAACTGACCAAGCTGATTTTGTATAATTTCTTACTCAGTTTCTTAACAGGTTAAATATTGTAGATATCATATCCACCCAAAGGGATAAGGATGTGAAAAAGCCCTGACAATTACAAAACTCTATATATTGTCATCATCCAAGACTTACTTCTTTGAATCTCTTCCACAATAAAAGGATCAAATCTAATTTTGTCAATACTTTCATCCAAACAATAGGTTCTATATATTTTCTTCACCTCTTCATGAAGGGACATCATTTCATCATTTGATAACTCTGGTCTCAAAATTCTGTCATTGAATTCCTCTGGCATATTAGGAAAAGGCAAAGAAAAAAGGATCACCTCATTTAACAAATAACATCTCTTAAGCACATTACATAAAAGTCTTAACTATAACTATTGATCTGATTTTCGACTATGTCTATATAATGACAAAACACCTATATGAACACACAAAAATCAGCTGACCATCCAAATATGTTGTATAATTGATAATAATAATCAATAATAGAATTGACAATGTCAATTATATAATTGATAATAAATAAAATATTTATGAAATAGTATAAATTGCACAATTTTGCACACACAGTTGAAATGGTATGATGAAAAAACACCAGCCTAACACTTTCCTCAAAGAATATAATATATGGTTTCTTCAAAATATTGCCAACTGGTGCAGTGGATAGAGTGTCACACTGGAGTCAGGAACACTCATCTTCCTGAGTTCAAATCTGGCCTCAGACACTTACTAACTGTGTGACCCTGGGCAAGTCACTAAGCCCTGTCTGCCTCAGTTTCCTCATCTGTAAAATGAGGAGAAGGAAATGGCAAACCACTCTAGTATATTTGCCAAGAAAACCCCAAATGGGGTCACAAAGCATTGGACATGACTGAAATGACTGAACAGTAACAAACAAATAAGAAATTAACTTAATTTATTCAAATAACAAAAGGCAATTTTAAAAAGTTAGTTTCTTATTTCCAAAGAAAATTAGAAAAATCATTATACTATTGAAAAGGGAATAGGATCTTCTCAACACTGACTCAAAGTTTCTCATATCTTAATTAAATTTTAAAAAACTGGGCTTTGTGAGAACTCATAGAGTTACAGACAGGCTAGAAAAAAAAGATAATGGCTGAAGAGCAATGACAAAAACACTAAATAATATATCGGGGCATTGTTTTTTTTTAGTTACAGAACAGGTATTCCTATCTTTTCTAGGCAGGAAATGCAAGTGCCACTCACAGGATCAATCTCACTAGTGACAGCCATGAGAGCTTTGACCTTCTACATTTCCGACTTTAGCCAGTTTGCTCCTCCTGACAAAATCTGGTGGCCCTTGCTCCAGGGGTTCACCATATTAATGTCAAACTTAGTGCAGACACACCACTGAGATAGCCCACAGAACCTCAGAACATCCAAGTTCATGAGATTCACTAGCCTCAACCTCCCTAATAGCTAAGATTCCATGTATGTGTTACCTTGACCAGCTGAATAACTGAATGTTACAATGTAACAGAATGTGAAAAAGATCTACAGGTAAAATCCTGTTAACAAAAATTCTATCACAATAAAACTTTATAAAGTAATTTCCCAAATGTTGCCTAATGTTGCTTTATCTTCCCTGTAACCAATAGCAGTTATTAGTAACAGTCTATCCAGAGGATCAAAATCTTTTGAAGTTCCAAAAAACCTTCAAGCTAGTCCAACCTCTTATTTTTACAAATGAAGAAATGACAGAAAGGTTCAGTGCCTCACTAAAGACCATACAGGTTAAACAGCTGGGAGGTAAGCTGAGCTCCATTGGAAGAAACCAAAGGCAGAATTCAAATGCCAGTCTAAAGCAAACTCTCTTTCCTACACCAGTCCACATTTTACACCACAAGGACCATATATTTTAAAATCCCATTGAAAGTTATTATGGCTCTCTGCCATATTCCTTCAATTAACATTTTCCTATTAACAAATGATCCAGAATACTGCTATTTTCCTTGAAGGGATCAAAGGAAAGGTTAATTTTATCACTTATTGGATGGATTGAAAGAAAGCACCCTAGGACCAAATTATTCTGTAAAAGAGAAGCCTGCCATGGCAAAATTACCGAAAACACCACTATTTTGGAATCTTAAACATATATCATACATATATATGCATATATGTTTATTATATTGAATATTTTGATGCAATGAGTCTTTTTGGAGGGAGGTGATACTCCCAATAAGATTCAGTCGTAGCCAGTTACAGGTCAAATCTCACTCTGGGAAACAGCAGTGTACATTTCTGCAGAACTGGCGAGTAATGTGGCAATGGACATTTACAATAATGTTTCAGTGCAACAGAAGAAGCTGGGTACCTCTGTAACAAGATCTGGCCTGCACATTCAAAAACATTTTTTTAAGTTACAAACCATATTCAGTAATCACAAAGGTAAGCCTTACCCACGGTCAGACAAAACTGTAACACATGAACGGCTCCTTCTTGTTTCAGAAAATTCATGAAGCGAAACAAAAGATCTTGCTGTTCTCTAATCTCCTTCAATTCTAACTTCAGTACCTTGAAACAAGGTGTAAGAGAGTCAAATACTAGACAAATATTTTGTAATTTTTCTTTAAATTAAAAGCAATAAAATAATGTTGTAAATAAAAGTACTTTCCCCACTTACAGAAGGCTTTTTATTTCTAGGCTCTGCAAATTTCTGCAAGAAAGGAACCAAAGAGGAAGCAGGTTCTGTTGCTTTTTCAGGCTATTAAAAAAAGAGAATAAACCAATTCAGTAATATCCCTATTCCATTTGATTGATATGAAGCAAAATGCAATACAATTTGAAATGCTTTCTAAAGTGGTCAATACTCACTGGACTGTCATCTATGAAGATGATAAGTAAATGATTCACAGTATCCTAATAGGAAATAATAAACACAGGTTGCCATGACAAAAGAAACAAGCTGAAAATAATTCCTTCACTGTATTCTGCCCAAAATTCTGGAAGATTTTTCTCAAATTATGAAAATTTATATGTTAATCCAATGGAGAAACAAATGAGACAGTGGCAAAACACTTGCAGTGATGTGCCACAGAGGGACAATTTCCTAAAGAGCTACAGTACAGGTCTCTCATTCTTTGTAGAAGACATGCAAAAAATGTTACTCTGACATAGGGAATAAAACTTTTTATACAGTTTTAGTGCTTTAATCTTACTGGATCAGCCAGGAAATCCAAAGAAGGAAGAAAAACAGAACCAGACAGAATCTCTCTTATAAGTAAAGTCAGGGATCTGGAGGGGGGAAAAAAAAAAAAAGAATAGTTACATAATTGTGACACAATTTGGGACCACAATTTGCTAGAGATGAAAATTTAATAGCAAATTATTTCCATAGTAAGAAGTAGGTTTAGTATTAAAAAGTACTGTCTACCTAAGAAATACCATTACAAAGACAAACTGTAGAATCTCCCATGTAAATTCTTAAGAAAAGATAGATAGTGATCTCTCTGGGATGTTTTAAAGACAATCCTGCCAGGATATAGGGAGATAAACCAGATGACCTTCTAGAGTGCTTCACAGATCTAGTAACAAAGTACCTACCTACAGAGTTGCTTAAAGTGTTTCTGCCTATTTGACCCACTAACCTGAATATTCTAAAAAGAAATAACAAGAAATAATGAAAAGTTATTATCTTACCAACACTGCAATTCATTTTAATTAATAGCTTTATCTTTGATTTCTTCAGGTTCAATGATACCAAGAGTAAGGCAAATACCATTCAGATCTAACATCTAAATTGGTATCTTAAGACCTGATGAATGTTTTTTTTTTTTTATAAACTAAAAACTGTTCAAAGTTTAGGCCAATCTCTAATTACAGTCTATGACTACCATGATCAGGAATAGCAATACACATTGTGGCAGGGCACATAAATACCATTACAAAAACTTCCAAAATATTTATACCTGCAGTCTGTTGCTTTTGGGGGCAAAATATAAGGGAAAAGTAATTCAGTAAGTTTCCTCAAATAGTGTAACTCATCTCTTCGACTTCTCAAAGCCACGTGAAGTTCTGGCCCATATTCTTCTAAAGCAGCTTGTTGCAAAAACTCTGCATTTTTTACTATAAAGAGAGATAAAAATCAGTATTAGGTTAAGCAACCTTAGCCAGTTCCCCTGACAAATAAAAACTATTCAAATACAAAAATCTCAAACTTTAATTCCACAATATTTTATGCCTTCAAACTCTAAATATGCAGCATGCTAACAACTAGTATTTTTCATACATTAAAGATCAAGAAAAATGTATTAAAGTGAAATCAGGTCATTTCTGGTGTAAAAATATTTACAACAAATGCCAAGTAACTTAAGAATTCCTAAGATCAGTAATGTAGTCAGATAATTTGATTTGTCTTTCCAAGATCTGACCATGACAGAACTGTTGTTGGTTTACTTTCAGCAACTGTACCACAGAGAAGTTAAAAACCAATAAAAAGTTTGCTAAATATCTATCCTATGAAATGACTTAAGAATCAATCACTAATAAAAACTAACTGGAAACAAAACAGATGCCTATCAACAGAGGAATGGTCAAATAGTGAACATGAATGTAATGAACTTTTGGTGTGCTATAGGAAATGATGAATAGAAAAAATTCAGAAGCATGGGAAGACATATGAATTAAAGAGAAATGAAGTAAGCAGAACCAGGAAAACAATATATACAATGATAACAAAAGAACAAAGAACACAGCCTAATAGACTGTAATAATAATGACCAAAGGAGAGTTAAGAAAAGCCATCCTCTTTCCATTTTTGCAGAGCTGGGCAACTATGGATACGATACACTTACAATTACCATCAATCTGAGTTGATATGTTCATTAGTTTTGCTAAACAGCTTTTTTTTCTTCTGTGTTACAAAGGATGGTGGATGGGAAAGAGAGATTTCTTTTTAAATGAAGGTGATATATATAGAAAAGAAAGATGTCAATAAAAATTTTTTAAAACAATAACTAAAATGAATCAACCAAGTTTTTAAACAACTACTTTAATGTACAGGCAACTAACTGCATACCATCTAAAATGAAATAAATTTCCAACATTTCCAAGAAAGAAACTAAATTATTGACTTCCAAAAAGTAAAGACAGTTACAAAAGTATATGAGGGGTAGCTAGGTGGCACAGTACTTAGAGCACCGGCCCTGGATTCACAAGGACCTGAGTTCAAATTCGGCCTCAGACACATAACACTTACTAGTTGTGTGACCCTGGGCAAGTCACTTAACCCCATTGCCGAGCCAAAAAAAAAAAAAAGTATATGAAACAAGACTTTCCAAAAAACAAATGCATGTTAATAATAGCTCTGGAGGAAAAAAAGTGCTCTAAACCTTCAATAATGAGGAAGATGTAAATTAAAACAACACTGGGGTTTTACTTCACAACCAGCAAATTTTCAAAAGATGGAAATTGTCAATGTTAGAGTGACTAGGGAAGTCAGACACACTAATACACTCTTGGTGAGGCTGTGAATTGGTTTAAACTTTCTGGAAAACTGTTTCAAATCATGTAAAGAAATTTACTAAACTGTTGGTACCATCTGATGTGGCTGATCTAATACCCCAAGGAGGTCAAAGACAGAAAGAAAAATCAATTATATGAAAATCCTGACAGCAGAACTTTTTGTGGTCATTAAAAAAAGTGGGTGCCCCATCTAGAGAATGGTTGAACAAACTGGTTTATGAATGCAATGGAATAGTACTGTACCATAAGAAACAAAAAATAGGTGAAATTCAAAGAAATATGGAAACACCTGCACAAACCAATGCTGAGCAAAGCAAGCATTAACAGAACAATGTGAACAATGATATAATGTAAATTATGCAAATGATAACAACAATACAAGTCAGATGAACTAAACTTAAATGCTATGACCAATACTCAATAGTGAAACACACTTCACTCTTTTTGGTGGATGGAGCTGCTCAATGTTGCATAAGCTATCAGCTGACATCTTTGGTGGGCTGATTTTCTTTAACTATTTTTGCTTGCTACAAGGAAAGGTTCAGTGGTGGGGGGAGGATGGGAAAGAAAGAAGTATATTGGCAAAATACAAAAGGCACAAAAAATGTTAAACATTAACAAAACTTTTCAAAAAGATGATTGTAGGATATTTTTAGTTGGAACAATGAGCTTAAAAATCATTATCTAAATTTTGTGCAGGGGGCAGCTAGGTGGTGCAGTGGATACAGCACTGGCCCCGGAGTCAGGAGGACCTGAGTTCAAATCCGGCCTCAGGCACATAATACTTACTATCTGTATGACTCTGGGCAAGTCACTGAACCCCAATTGCCTCACTAAAAAAAATGAAATAAAATAAACTTTGTGCTAACAAAAATGTACAAGTTCAGAGAATAACTCCACACAAAGATAAAAGGTAAATCTGGATAAACAATAGTTATAGCTGATTCATCATCATTTAAATGGCAAAGTACAAAGTATCCTTGGATAAGTTCAAGCTCTAAAACTGAGTGACCATGGACTTACATTAACTAGGCCCGTTTTCTCATCCGTAAATGAAGATGATAATTTTTCCACTACTCACCTCAGACACCGTTCTGAGGAAAGAATTTTATAAGCTATAAGGCATTATGGTTTATACTTATAAATGCATCCTTACTGTGCCGGTCGCGCCGTGCACTCTCCTCCTATAAGGAGCAGGCTGCCAGGGTCATACTACTTACCAGTCTTCGGTGCCCACCCGGATAAACACAGAGACGAGCCCGATCAAGAGGTGCAAACACTCAAGCTTTATTCAGAGGCCATCACAGCAAGGCCAAGCAGGAAAGCCAGAGCAGGAGAGCAGGAGCAAGAGAGAGCGAGCTCCGATCCCTACTGTTCCTTAAGTACCTTCTTAGCCCCTCCTCCTCAGCCCACCTACTAGTCATTGATTGTAGGATCAGATACCGGAAGGGGATGTCTGGGGTTAGTGCCTAGACAAAGGGAGAGTACGTGACGCAGGAGGCTAGGCCTGGATACAGGAAGGAGACGTCTGGGGTTAGAGCTGCACCTAGGGAGAGGACGTGACGCAGGAGGCTAGGACCGGATACAGGAAGGAGACATCTGGGGTTAACGCTGCACCTAGGGAGAGGACTAGACAAAGGGAACTCATTCTCTGCCGTCCCACTCCCACGTGGCACAGCCCCCTGCCTCAGGAGCACATGCTCCGGTTACTTCCCCGTATCCAGTTCCTATCCCAGTTCACCGCAACTCCACATGGCACAGCCTCCTGCCTTGGGAGCGTGAGCTCCGGTTACTTCCTAATATCTTGTTCCTACCCCATCTTGCCACAACCCCCACGTGGCAGTAGCCAACATCAGACAATCCCTCACACTTACCATAATAAAAACATAATCTCTGTAATTCAATGGAATTTTAATTAACACATTCCATTAATCATAGGCTAAAAAACAATTATTATGAAATGTAATTGACATGAGTTATCAGAAGAATCCAAAATGTCATTTTCTGGTGATTTTGGATTTTGAATTCCACATTCACAATTCGAGTGGGAACAGTTAAATACTCACTTAATTGAAAATTAATCAAAATGCAAACTATAGTCAAACCATCCTATCTGTATAAATAGCACTATCAAGACTTTTGATACTATATTTTTGGGTCTCTGCTAAACATACCACTGTGTACAGGCTCCCCCTACTCTCCCAGCTCCTATACTCTTCTGACTTTTCATCTTGGAGCTCTTCTCATACTTCGACTCCAGACACTTCATCTTTGGCCATGCTCTCAAGTGTTCCCAATGATACAACAGGCCAAATGAAGGAATATGTATATAGATACATATAGATATATAGACATAGAAAGATATATACTTCTCCCTATCAAGATCATTTTTTGTTGTCAACTGCAGGCCCCTGGGTCACACCTACCTCACAGTCTTCTTGTCTACCCTAATACCTAGGCCTCAGAGTTAGAGATCAGGTACTCTTGAGTAACTTGGCCTGCAAATTTAAAAACTCTTAAATTTTCATGGCCTGTACCAACAATTTATCTCAAGCACCCTTGGAAAAAGTAACTTAGAAATCCCCATAACCACAAACTGTTCCACCTTCAGATTCCTGAAGTTTCAGATACCTCCCTCTGATCATTTCATTTCTTCCTATGCCTCACTCCACACAAACTCATTCTTCCTTCATCAGATAATCTGAGAAATGGAAGAGACTCTATTGGCCATCTAGTTCAACTTGTACCCAATACAAAAGGAATTTCTATTACAAACACACCCAACAAATGGTCATCCAGGCTCTACTTTAAGGAAAAGGAACCCAGAAACTCTTGGGGCAACTCATTCTACTTTTGGACCATATTGTTAGGAAGTTTCTCCTGATATTAAGGAAGTTTTTCCTGACAATAAGTCTAACTGTCCCTCATTGATCGTGATTCTGCTGAGGTAAAAGAAAACAAATCTAATTCCTCTTCCTTGCGACAGACCTTCAGATTCTTGAAGATGGTTATCATATCCTCTACTGAGTCTTCTCTCTAAGCTAAACATCCAGTTTCTCATATTCTCAATTCTACCCATCCCACCCCAAACTCTCTACTGACTTCAAATCTCAGATCTCCAAGTACCTTTCAGATATCTTGAAATAGATGACCAGCAGACATCTTAAATTCAATATCCAAAACAGAACTCATTATCTTTCCCCCTAAACCCTGCCCCTACTTCTACCTTCCCTCTTACTGTAGAAGGCAATGCTATCCTCCCAATCCCTCATGCTTATAATACTAGGAGTCATCCTCAACCCTTCACTATCTCCTCCTCCCCCAAGCCCAAGCTGCTGCCAAGGCCTGTCGATTTTACCTTTATAACATCTCTCAAACATGCTCCCTTCTCTCATCTGATAATTCTACCATGCTGGTGCAAGCCCTCATCACCTCATACCTGGACTACTGCAATAGCCTACTAGTGGCGCTGCCTGCTCAAGTTTCTCGCCATTCCAATCCATCCTCTGTTCAGCCACTAAAGAGACTTTCCTAAAGTACAGGTCCAATCATGTCACTGCCATACTCAAATTCCAATGATTGCCTCCAGGACTGAACATGAA